CACGGGCCGTCTCGCAGATGGAGGGGGAACAGGGCCAGCAAGTGGTCCTGTGCCCGGGACGAGGGGACGGGCCAGACCTCTTCCTACCTGGTTTACAGCCACGGGACGGGAGCCCGCGGGGCCTCCAAGCCTCGAACTGGGTCTGGGAGTGGAAATGGCCCTTGGCCAAGGTGCAGGGCATCAACGGGGAATGGGGCAGGAAGCCAGGTGCCCAGGAAGGAGGAGGCTGGGCCTGTCTAGTGGTGCCTTCACCGGGAGAGGAGCCTGTGGGTGGCCTTGGTGGAGCTGTGGACCAGTGGGGGACTCCAAAGTCCGGGTTTCCCACACTGCTTGGGTGTGCAGGGATGGAGAAGGATCGTAGCCCCCATTTCAGGTGATCGCAGGGAGTGCCGGGCTCCCCACCGAGCATGGCTTCCTCTCCATCTGCTTTAGTGAGGGACCATGGTGCACCACCCAGAGGCAAGGAAATGGGTGGACAGGCTGTGGCTTGTCCGAGGAAGCCCAGCAAGCAGGACTCGGCCTCCCTCTGCGGCTGTGGGGTGCACCCACCCTGCCTTCTTGCCCAGCCAACTCCAAGGAGGCGGGTGTCCAGGGCAGCCCTGAGTCCCCTGCCCTGAGCCCCGGCCCCCCGTGTCTGCCGAAAGCACGTGTTCTGCAGCTGGGCAGCCCGGCCCCTCCCACGTGCCCCCCCAGCTCCCAGCCCCACCTCCCTCAGCCCTGCCCCTAACCACTGCACCCACTCATCCCCACTTTCCTCTCTGCTCCCTTCCAGTCCCTAAGGGGTGGACCCCAAAGAGGCATTTCCCTGGGGGACTTCCTTTGGAGGCTGCCAGGGTGAGCTGTTTCCTGGGAGACCCAGTCAAGCACAGAGACCCTGCAAACAGGTCCCATAAGAGGCAGGGCTGCTGAGTGAGGTGACATCCTGGGGAGGTGACGTCCTGGGGAGGCTGGCAGAGCTCTGGGGAGGGGGCAGCCTCTCCTGCAGAAGTGAGGTTGAAGCTGAATCACAGAGGGAAGGAGGGGAGGTGGCCGAGCCCTGGGGGAGAGCAGGGTGATTCGTGTCAGGGAGTGGTGTGAACTGACAAGCCCCATGTGCAGTGGAAGCTGCTGGAGGGTCTCGAGCAGGAGAGAGACGATGTGCCCCCCAGAGACGGCCCTGGCTACTGCTGTGCAGATCCCCCGACTCCCTGCTGCCCTCACCCCCACCCCATCCTTCCCAGGTCCCTGGCCAACTCCCAGGCTATTTCATTGGCCATAAATCCTGTTCTTCTCACCGTCCGCACTCACCCTCACTTTCCCTGGGGTCCTTGTCACTTTCTGCTTTCTTGGGTGGAGGCTGCGCCAGGGGCAGCCGCAGGAGCAGGTCGAGGCACCCCTGGCTCCATGAGCCTCGGCCTGGTCTCTTTGCATGCCAGGCAGGGTGTGGGGACCTCCCCGTCATCGCCCTGTCAGCTGGCTTCCTCCACACATACGGAGGAGGAAAGTGAGGCTCAGAGAGGGGAAGAGGCTCTCCCTAGGCCACACAGCCAGGAACACTCAGACGGGATTCAGCAAACCCCGTGAGGTCCTATCGCCTGCACAGCTGCCCTGCACAACCTGGGGTGGGGCCTGCAGAGCGGCGGGGAGGCCACCAGCCACTCCCTGGTGTGTTCCAGGCACGGGGCCTCCTGCCCCCCCGCAGCCTCCGTTCGGCCTCCGGTTTGAAAAGAGACCTGCTGCCTCTTTGCAAGTACCCTGAGCCCTAGAAGGAGGACAGTGCGTTGATGACAAGCTGGGACCTGGAAGTCCTGCAGAGCCCGGCCCTGTGGGGGCAAGCTCTGGGTGGAGCTTCAGATCCCAGCACGCAGCAGACTTGCGGTGGGGCCGCGCGTAGATGGCTTCACCTCTCAGCCTCGTCCCTCCCTGTAAAATGGGCTGATGGTGGCGTCACTGCAGAGGGTCCACGAGAGTGACAGGAGTCATCGGTGTCTGTATATCACCGAGAAGAGCCTCCCTGCGGTGAGCCACTATCCAGGTCTCCTGGTAAAAGGACGGCCGCTGTTCTGCCCAAAGGGAACCCACGAAATCCCAACTGCCCCAGGCGCCGCAGGGCACTGTCTGCTCCGGCTTCGTGCCCAGCGTGTCACAGCATGCGGGCAGTGGCCATAAGCCCTTGTTGGATGATGACTGTGGTAACTCCTTATGCCGAGGCCTGACAGCCCCCGGTCTCCTGGCCACACTCTCAACCTTAGGAAACGCGGAGTGTCCGTCCACCCTACAAGCCCACCCAGCGCCCAGCACCAGCTCTCTGGAGAAGGGCTCTCTCTGCAGCCACTTCTGTTTTATTCGATTTTCAAGACTTAAATGAAGCTGCCTCGTGTGAGGGCTTTGAAAGGACCAAACAGGTGGCATCCCCAGTGTCCTGGACCTGTGTCCCCAGAGCCAGCCTGACATTTGAAGCTCCCAACCCCATCCCCGCCGGCTCCCTTCTGAGCGTGGCCAATCCTTGCTGGCCCAAGGGCAGCCTGGTCAGGGTGGGAGCACCCCACACGGACGCCCCACCACACTCACCTTCTTACACCCCACAGGGATGCCCCACATGCCCACCTTCTTGCATTGTCACCAGGGACTGGCCACTGGCCCTATAGCCAGGAGGTGTTGACAGCCCCCACAGCTGTGGCCACACATGTTCCCAGCCGTCAGCCTCCGGGCAGGTGGGTGGCCAGGAGGGGCAGGCACCCCTCGGAGGGAGGCCTGCGGCTGTATGGAGGGGACAGCAGGTGCCGTGAGGCCTGGGTGGCTGCTTACTGGCTGCTTCCTCACCACACTGTTCACCACGCGCCAAGCAGACGGGGTACGGGGTGGTGGGGGCTGCTCCACTCCTACCTGCAGCACAGGTGCTGGTCACAGCCAGGCACCACCACCCCGAGATGTTGAGCAGGACCTCAGGCTCTCTGAGCTTCTCTGCCCTCAGTAAAAGAAGCAGGTGGCAAGAGGATCAGGCAAGGTTTGCACAGCATTTGGCACGTGGTAGCCATAAAAGCCTTTTATTAGCCACCTTCCACAGAGGCCGGGTGGCCCTGACCCCTGGGGTATCTCTCCATCTGACGATGGTGCTGGGGCCCCTGGCGTGGGGAAATGGCAAGAGAAGCAGGGGCAGCATCCACAGCTCACTAATGAAGGCGACGGACACCAGGCAACTGTGGCTTCACCTGCTCATACGCTGGGCCGTGGGTGAGACCCCACAGGTGTGAGCAGCAGGGGGAGTGTGTGGGGCAGTGCAGGTGTGAGCAGCATGGGGAGCATGTGGGGCTGTGCAGGTGTGAACAGGTGTGTACGGGGCAGTGCAGGTGTGGGCAGGGAGAGGTGTGGGGCAGTGCAGGCATGAGCAGCAGGGGGAGGTGTGGGGCAGTGCAGGTGTGAGCAGCAGGGGGAGCATGTGGGGCTGTGCAGGTGTGAACAGGTGTGTACAGGGCAGTGCAAGTGTGGGCAGAGAGAGCGTACAGGGCAGTGCAGGTGTGGGCAGGGGGAGGTGTGGGGCTGTGCAGGTGTGAGCAGCAGGGGGAGCATGTGGGGCAGTGCAGGTGTGGGCAGGGAGAGCATACAGGGCAGTGCAGGTGTGGGGGGGGAGGTGTGGGACAGTGCAGGTGTGAGCAGCAGGGGGAGCATGTGGGGCAGTGCAGGTGTGGGCAGGGAGAGCATACGGGGCAGTGCAGGTGTGGGGGGGGGAGGTGTGGGACAGTGCAGGTGTGAGCAGCAGGGGGAGCATGTGGGGCAGTGCAGGTGTGGGCAGGGAGAGCATACAGGGCAGTGCAGGTGTGGGGGGGGAGGTGTGGGACAGTGCAGGTGTGAGCAGCAGGGGGAGCGTGCAGGGCCGTGCAGGTGATAGCAGGTAGAGTGCCCACCTTGTTGGTCTCAGCTGCTGAGGGTCCGAAGCCTCAACGGAAGTGGGGGTCCCAGGTGTTTCAAGCTAGCCTTGGTACTGGCTGACCTTGACTTAGATGAATTGGGGGATCCAGAGGCTTATACCCCTACCCCCTGCAAAACCTGCTGCCCATAGGCTGCTGGCTCGGCCTCCGGGTGTCTGGGGTGGGTCTGTGCTACAGGCCCTGGGCCCGGAAGCTGTGTCCACAGGTCCTGTGCTCTGGGTGGCTCAGGTGGCTCAGTGTCCACCAGTCGCAGCCCACCAGCGCCTTCAGCATTTTCGGCCCTCTCCCACACAGCTGGCCCTGGGCCGAGCTTCTCAGAGTTCAGGGAGCCTCAGGCCACAGGGAATGTTGTTCAGCTGTGGGATCTTCTACATCGAGTGTCCTGGCATCGCCACATGCGGGTGGGCCAGACTCAGAGAGGCCAGGCTTCGCCATCCTGACATCAATGCCACCTCCTCCGTCTCAGCTGTTCTGCCCATCACCCAGGCGGAAGGCAGTTAAAATAGAGGTTCTGCCACCCAAGATGGCCCGCGTGCTGGGCACTGCCTGGGCAGACACTCCCTTCCCAGGGGAGCCTTTTAGCACCTGAAGGTGGCAGGGACTCTTAGAAGTGTGGCTTCTGGGGCCGGAGCAGCAGCAGCCCCACCTGGGAACGTGGGAAACGCAGATTCCCATCCCAGCCTGACCTGCAGCTGAATCAGAACTGGAGGAGGGGCTGAAGCCAAGCTAAATACCCCCCGGGGTTGTGCATGGAGGCAGGAGTGTGGCACTGCTGCCTCAGGGCACTGCCCGCTCCACGCTCTGCAGAAACCTCAAGCCTGGGGTGGGGCGCGGCTTTCCCACGCCTGCCACACACTGAGGGCCCCGGCCGCAGCCTGGCAGCCACCTGAGGTGAGCTGACCCAGCTGGTTATCTGGCCTGGCTCTGCCCCACGATCACCTGCAGGTGGGGTGTCCACCACCTGCCAGGGCACCTAGGGCAGGCTGCTCCTGCTGGGAGACATTCTGTGGGGCCTTGGCTGGGAACCTGTGGGGCAGCGGGCACTGGCCTCTGCACTTAGCCAGCTTCATCAAGTCTCTCTTTCGGTTGCAGCCCCAGTTGACAGGAAGGCTAAGGCCTCAGCGATGCCGGACTCCCCAGCGGAGGTGAAGACCCAGCCTCGGTCCACACCCCCCAGCATGCCACCCCCACCGCCTGCCACGTCCCAGGGAGCCACACGCCCCCCCTCCTTCACGCCACACACACGTGAGTAGCCCCCAGCCGATGGCCGAGGGCCAGGTGCTTCAGGGGAGCCCCTCGTGTTGTTTGAAATCCTGAGCTTCCTGCCGTGAGCCGCTGAGCACCTGCTGTAAGCCCTGAGCGTGAGGAGCTCATGAGGCGTGGCCCAGAGCCCAAGCTTTGCAGTTCAAATCCCAGCTTCCCTGCTTCCCGCTGTGCAGCCCCCCAGCCCACTCCTCAGCCTCTCGGGACCCCGGCTCCCTCGTCTGCAGTGGGGGACCTCCCGGGGCTGTGGTGGGGCCAAGTGAGTCCACACAGGCCTTGCACCAGGGCCGGCCACTGTGCCTCAGGCTTTCTGCCTTGCTTGGCAGGCCCCGGGATACCAGGCTCCATCTAGAGGAAACGTGGGACTTGGACGGGGCCAGGGGCTCTCCCAAGATCACACGGCAGCTCATCCGTGCACAGGACCCGAGGAGGAGCTGCAGAGGCAGCTCTGGCCCTGGAGGGGCTCAGATCCCAGGAGCTCCGCAGCCCGGCTGATCACGGGGCCCGGGTGGGGGCCTCGGAACGCTCTCAGGCCCTGGGCAAGGGGTTGGCCAGGCTTGGTGCAGAGCCGCTGAGCGTGGGCCGTGGGGCGCTATGGGGAGGGAGCAGCCAGTTCTCGTCACAGTCACCGCCGCAGCCTTGGCTTTAAGGACAGATGTCAGTTCCCAGTCGCTGGGCTAGTCGCTGGGCAGGTGGGGTGGGCAGCGTCCCTGCCGCCCAAGGCTGGGGCTCAGGAGCGTGTGTCAGTGTCTCCAGGGGTGGAGACTGTGAGCCGCAGTGGACAGGAGGCTAAGGCACAAAGCCCCTCTCTGGGGAGGAGCCTCAGACTTTTGTCCTGCTGGCCCCAGGTCCCCCACCCACCAGGAGGAGCTGCTTCCTCTGTCCCTTTATGTCACGACTGTCCTTAGAGCACCAGGCAGCCATGGGCCAGGCCTGCTCCCCCTGCTCTGCCCTGAGGCCGGGAGGCCTGCTCCTCCGGCGGCTTTGGGCATCATCTCCCTCCCTCTGAAAAGAGCGTTGGCTGTCGGGTCCAGTAGCAGACTGAGGGCCCTGTTTGTAGGACGTTGGCTCCTAGCAAGCCTTCTGACTTGATGGGGAATGGCATGACCACCAGTGGGGTGCTCGCAGGTGTGCTGTGCGGAGGCAAGGACATCCAGGAACGCGCCCAGCGCTCAGTGGGAGCCAAACAGCCTCAAGCCTACCCCCTGCACCCTCGGGGCGTCCGTGCGTCATGGAGCCTGTACTCCTGCCCGGCCCTGCCTCCCGACAGTCGGGACGCCGCGGTCACAATTGTGCAGGTCCTGGAGGGCAGCAGGCCCCGCGTACAGTCCCAGCTCTGCTGAGCTGGCTGCGATTTCTAGTAAGAGGTTGGCTAGGGGAGGAAACGCTCAGGGGGGACCACAGAAGATGCAGCCGTGGGTGCAGCGCCTAAAACACCTGCTCCACAAACATCCTCAGACCACGTGTCAGGGACAAATGCTGTGGGCTGAGCCTGGCTCCCCAGACCCTCAGGGGTGTGTCTCCCCACCTGCTCTTCCCCGTGTACCAGCAGTCCATGCTTCAAAGGTGCTAGTCTGGTGACCCGAGGCTCCTGGCTGGGGTGGGGTGGGACCGGCGGAGGCCGCAGTCTCTGCTTCTGGAAACCTGTGAACAGCTGTGAGTGCAGCCGGCCTGCCCGGGGCTAGGGGTCCTTCCCGCCCCCTCCGTTCTCAGCCTGCCACGGGAATCAAGTTTCAGGAGTGAGGTCCCAGCTATGTTTAAGGAGCATGAAGCTTATAAAAGAGATAAGCGATGCTTTTTCTTCTCTGAGCTGACGCTTCAGTCCCACCAGGTTGGCAGGAGCACCCGTCTGAGGCTCTGGGCACCCTGAGGCAGCCTCAGGTTCATTCTAATCCACACAGTTCCCTGAAAGCCTGGTGGTTGGCTGTGCCCCTGGCCCTCGATGGTGGCTGCCCTGGGGGGGCCATAGCTCAGCCACAGAACCCTGACTGGACACTCCGGAGCCTCCCTGGGGATTGGCCTCTGAGCCAAGCTAATGGCAGACTGACCCGGAACCTCAGCCTTGAGGCCTGAGGTTTTTCTTGCCCAGTGACTGCCCGGGGCACAGATTCATCTTGGAGTTGAAGCGTGGTGCAGCTGTGGGGGCAGGGGGCAAAGGGAAGGAAGATAGGCAGCAGGGACCCAGACCAAGCTCCTCTAAATCTGGGAGGACCCTCAAAGGGCTGAGGCTTTATGTGCGCTTGATTGCCCCCACGACAGAGAACTCACTGCCTGCGTTTACAGAGCTACAGCCTGTCTTCCTGCGGCGTCCACCACTAACTTCAGTTGGGCAGATTAGATCCTTCTTTCTTTCTATATATAATAGAGATGGGGTCTCCCTACGTTGCCCAGGCTGCTCTTGAACTCCTGGGCTGAAATGATCCTCCCACCTCAGCCTCCCAAAGTGTTGGGATTAGAGGCGTGAGCCGCCATGCCCTGCAGAATCTTTCTTCCTGTTCAGTGCTTCCCCCTTCAGCGCTGACCCCGGGCTTCTTTTTAGAGACTCCAAGCTGAGTATCAGGTCACTTTTAGAACATGCAGCTTTGGCCCAGGCCCCTGAGGGTGGTGCTGATGGGGTTGCAGGTGCTGTGTGGGAGAGGGCGTTGAGAACAAGGGCCCCACCCCTGCCAATAGAGAAGCAGAGGTTCTTGTAGATTCTGGAACAGTCCTGCCAAAAATGGCCCTTAGAGATCACCCACTCTCAGAGAAGGAAACTGAGGCCTGGAGAGGGGAGTGGCCTGGCCCCAGGCGGCTACACATCCCGATCCCTAAAACCCTCTGAGAAGCAGGAACAACGGGGCTGTGGGTCCCCTGCAGGGCGGGGTCTCCTGCCCACGCCCCTCCTGACAGCCTGTTCTTCTTATTTTGCTTACAGATCGAGAGGACGGGCCTGCAGCGCTGCCGCACGGCCGTTTTCATGGCTGCTTAAAATGGGCTATGGTCTGTCTCTGTAAGTAAAATAACAAAAACCGCAGGCCTCCCGCCCCTGCCACCGCAGCACGGCCACCCTGGGGGGCCACGGCTCTCCTCCCACAGCCTCCGTGCCCGCAGCATTGCCTCTGCCCTGTTGGCCCTGCCTCCTTAGGGAGAAGAGGACGAGGGAGGGCAGAGCCACCGGGGTCCCTGAAACCCACAGACCCTGCCGCTCCAAGCTGTGGGGCCTTAGGCAGGAGCAGAGTGTCTCTGAGCTTCCTTCCCCAGCAGCAAAACATGGCACCTGAGGCTGACTGCCAGTGTCTAGGGGAAGGGTGGGGCACAGCTTCTGGCCAGTGTATAGCTCAGCCGTTGCCAGGTCAGACCCCACCTACCCAGAGTCCCAGTTGCAAGCTGTGACTTCCTGTCAGGGTGTCCTTGGGCAGGTACCACCCCGTGTCTCAGTTTCCCCACTTGTAAAATGGAAGTAATCATGGCACCCAGTGCCAAGGGTGATCTCCAGGAGCCGTGAGAGGTTGGGGCCGGGCACATGCTGGGCACTCAGCAGACTTGAGTCACGAGCAGATGTTTCCGTCCATGTGCGTGGCCCACGCAGGTGTTCCGTGAGCGTGGCTCTTACCAGGCGGTATTTGGAGTCTTGGGCACCCAGTAAGTGCAGCCGTGCTTGAGCCTGTGAGACGGACTCTGGTCCATCGCCAGCAGCCAGCCTGGCAGCACGGCCCAGCTGTGGCCGCCGGGCTACTCCAGCTGTGAGGGCGGCAGATCAGTGTGCATTGTTTCTGCTGCACGGGGCGTCTCTGCCACAGGCATCACTCTGTGACGGGCCTGGCCGTGCGCTGGTGCCTAGTGGGCGGCCCCCGGACTGCGGCTGCTCTCTCCTCGGTGTGAGCTTATGGATGATGATGCTGGTGAATCCCAGCTCCAGGACGGCCTGTCCCGGAGACCCCACAGCCAGGAGAGGGGGTGGTGGGAGGGGCTGCCTTAGGGTGCCTCCGCCCCGTCTAACCCTGCCAGCAAGGCCCTGAGGAGCTGCGGGGTGCGAGCCTATGCCCCCAAACCTCAGCTGGGGACACGTGTGTGGTCTAACTTAGGAACACACCTGTTGTGGGAATGGAAGCACTTGTGCCGGGTTATTTTTGGCATCTCTTTAGCTGCTGAGACTGCCCGGCAGCACGGGAGGGAGTACGCGGGCGGGCAAGGGCGAGCAGGCCGCCGGGAGGACCGGGAACCCTGGGCAAGGCTGGTAAGCGAACCTGCAGGAGGGCCGGGCCGGCCAGGGCGGGGGGCGGGGACCCGGCGTGCATCGTGGTGCATCTGAGGAGCCACTGGAAGGTCCACAGTCCTGGGAATAGTCCCGCGTGTCCTGGAGAAGCCAGCTCCCTACTGTGGTGAGGTCTCCCACGATGACCGCGTCTCCTGGCCTGGCTGGGTGGCCGCAGGTGGCTGTCCTCAGTCTTGACGGGGGGTGTGTGTGTCACAGTTCACCGTGTGGCCAGTGAGAGGGAAACAGCAGTGCGGTGGGTCCTCCAGACAGAGCCTCCAAGGGCGCGAGACCAGGGCCCTGGCACACCCTGCGTCGGCACCCACTGTCCCACAGAGGAGGGAAAGCCCCAGAGCCCGGCACCTTTATTGGTGTCATGCACTCCAGAGGGCCGATGCATCCATCCTGAGCCCAGGAAGGCGCTCCTGAGATCGTTCAACCCCGGCGAGGTGCAGAGAAGCCCTGCAGCAGGACAGCCACCCCTGGTTGAGGGGCATAGCCGCTCAGAATGCACATGGAGGGAGGCCAGAACCCTGCGTGGGGGGAGGCCAGAACCCCGCGTCGGGGGAGGCCAAAGCCCCACATGGGGGGGGTCAGAACCCCAAGTGGGGGGAGGTCAGAACCCTGAGTGGAGGGAGGTCAGAACCCCACGTGGGGGGAGGCCAGAACCCTGCGTTGGGGGAGGCCAGAACCCCCAGTGAAGGGAGGCTCACAGCCCCAGCAGCAGTGATGTCTCCACTCTGTAGCCACCCCGTAGAAGTGGCCGAGGCCATGGCCACATGTGCACTCAAGGTTTTGTGCCAACTCTGAGCTTCAGTTAGTGGTTTCCAGAATTCTACTAGGTATGGGGCCGGTTATTGCCAACAGCCTCATGTAACACCCAACCCATGAAACCAGTGAGGAAGGAGTGGCCCTGGCTGACCTGGGCAGTGCAAGGAAAGAGGTGAAGCAGGCGCAGACCTGAGCCATCCGGCCACCATGCTGCCCTCTGCTCCCTGGGGCCCTACTTGGAACTTGAGGGCTGGGCCATGTCTATGTGGACGCCTTCACCATGCTGGTGCGTCTGAGGGCCTCTGTGGCCCTTCTGGTCTCCTCCTGCAGCTCCTGCAGCTGGTGACTGTGAGGCCCAGGGTGGAGAGAGAGCAGGGTGAGCCCTGGGTCCCAGGGGAGGCCGCCACTGTGAGCGCATCTGTTCCGCCCTCTCCGCTGAGAACATCCTGAGTACAGGGCTGGCCTTGCCCCTTCCTGCTGTGCCCGGCACTGGCTACTGGCATGTGGAGTCTGCCGGGGGTGGGAGGGGGGTCTCAGGGAGCCGGGCCACCCTGCTGCATCTCCTCGGTGCCTCAGCGCCCATCTGCCGTGTGGGACACACATGATGACTGCCCGGCCTGTGAAATATGTGCAGGTGCAGAGCCCAGCCCAGGCCACAGCACAGCTCCCTTACTCGGGAGGCGCCTCGCAGGTGCCATGGGACTGAGGGTCAGGAAGGTGGGAGCCACGGGGGGCTTCTGGGAAGGCAGAGTGCCAGGAGCCTAGGGCGGCCACCGAAGGGTTACTGGAGGGACACTTAGGAGAGGGCCGACCCCTCAGAGGGCCTCTGTAGGGAACAGGCTGGTCAGTCACCCTTGGGAGGGTGCAACCCAGGGCCAGCCCAGGCCTGCAGGGGTGGGTAGAAAGGGAGGCTGTGCCCAGCAGAGCCACAGCCCAGGAAGGGGGCCACGTGTGGGCCCCCACGTCCCGTGCTCCCGCCTGTCCAGTCTGAGGCCACAACTCTCAGCAGGGGTTACCTCCCAGGGCCCAGGTCAGGATGGGCAGGGCCAGCTCGGTCTAGGTCTAAGACCCCCCACAGTCCAGGGCACACAGAGTCAACAGCAGGCACCTACCGGCTGCTCAGGAGGAGCTGCCGCCCCAGCCCAGCCCAGCAGCATCCCCGTCCTGGGGGAAGAAGTTTCTGCTACTCCTCGGCACACACAGACCCCACCAGGCTTCAGCCACAGGCGCAAGTGTTGAGCTGGAGCCTCGGAGGAATTCAGCCCTGAGGGAGCCGGTGGCTCTGAGCTGCCCTGAGCCCCCAGACACACGCTCAGCAAGGGTGAGGGAGCAGGACCCCCAGAGAGGCACTCGGGGCCACAGTGGAGGAAGAGAGACACACATGTACATCATAGCCATGCATGTGTACGTACATGTGTGTGTACATGCACATGTGTGCGTGCATGTATGAATGTGTGTGTACATTCGTGTTGTTCGTGCATGAATGCATGCAAGGGTGGTGAGGGGGTAGATGGAGGCAGGAAAATGGAGGGCTCTCTAGGGACCAGAAAAGTGGGTGTGCTGTGTCGGGGAAGTGTCCACGTGCAGGAGGCAGCAGCCAGGTGTGAGTGTGTGCGGGGCTTCAGTGCTCTTCTCAGCAGGAGCCGGCCAGGGCCTGTCCCCTGTCAGCAGTGGATTTGGGAGCCCTATGGCCTCCGACCTGTCTGCAAAGCATGGGGTCACCGCTCAGGCTCCTGAGGCCAAGGGCACATTGCATGCCAGTGGGCTGGGCATAGGAGGGCTGCCCTGGACTCCTCACAAGAGGCTTGGCCTTAGCTCTGTCACCTGAGAAAAGGGGCAAGGCCTGGCCCTGGGACTTTCCATAGCAGCCCCATGTCTGCCAGGGCCCTGGAATGCTGACCCTGACAGCAGAGCCAGCCAGGCAGTCATGTCTCAGTGGCCAACAGGCGGCCCTGTGGCAAGTTCATCAGCTGTCCCTTATGACACCTGCTTGTCCTCCACACACACTGGCCTGTGTGCACACAGCCACCAGCAGCAGGACCCCACTGAGCATGTCCTTGGGTGTCCCAGTTCCTCTGCCCCCCGGGACCCTGTTAGCTCAGGCACTAGGTCTGTGTGCAAATGAAGGCATTGCTGGGGCTGGGATGCACCTGTGTGGGAAGCATTGCTGGGGCTGGGATGCACCTGTGTGGGAAGCATTGCTGGGGCTGGGAGACACCTGTGTGGGAAGCATTGCTGGGGCTGGGAGACACCTGTGTGGGAAGCATTGATAGGGCTGGGATGCACCTGTGTGGGAAGCATTGCTGGGGCTGGGAGACACCTGTGTGGGAAGCATTGCTGGGGCTGGGAGACACCTGTGTGGGAAGCATTGCTGGGGCTGGGATGCACCTGTGTGGGAAGCATTGCTGGGGCTGGGATGCACCTGTGTGGGAAGCATTGCTGGGGCTGGGAGACACCTGTGTGGGAAGCATTGCTGGGGCTGGGATGCACCTGTGTGGGAAGCATTGCTGGGGCTGGGATGCACCTGTGTGGGAAGCATTGCTGGGGCTGGGAGACACCTGTGTGGGAAGCATTGCTGGGGCTGGGAGACACCTGTGTGGGAAGCATTGCTGGGGCTGGGAGACACCTGTGTGGGAAGCATTGCTGGGGCTGGGATGCACCTGTGTGGGAAGCATTGCTGGGGCTGGGATGCACCTGTGTGGGAAGCATTGCTGGGGCTGGGATGCACCTGTGTGGGAAGCATTGCTGGGGCTGGGAGACACCTGTGGGGAAGCATTGCTGGGGCTGGGATGCACCTGTGTGGGAAGCATTGCTGGGGCTGGGAGACACCTGTGTGGGAAGCATTGCTGGGGCTGGGATGCACCTGTGTGGGAAGCATTGCTGGGGCTGGGATGCACCTGTGTGGGAAGCATTGCTGGGGCTGGGAGACACCTGTGTGGGAAGCATTGCTGGGGTTGGGAGACACCTGTGTGGGAAGCATTGCTGGGGCTGGGAGACACCTGTGTGGGAAGCATTGCTGGGGCTGGGATGCACCTGTGTGGGAAGCATTGCTGGGGCTGGGATGCACCTGTGTGGGAAGCATTGCTGGGGCTGGGAGACACCTGTGTGGGAAGCATTGCTGGGGCTGGGATGCACCTGTGTGGGAAGCATTGCTGGGGCTGGGATGCACCTGTGTGGGAAGCATTGCTGGGGCTGGGATGCACCTGTGGCGGAAGCATTGCTGGGGCTGGGAGACACCTGTGTGGGAAGCATTGCTGGGGCTGGGAGACACCTGTGTGGGAAGCATTGCTGGGGCTGGGATGCACCTGTGTGGGAAGCATTGCTGGGGCTGGGAGACACCTGTGTGGCGGAAGCATTGCTGGGGCTGGGAGACACCTGTGTGGGAAGCATTGCTGGGGCTGGGAGACACCTGTGTGGAAGCATTGCTGGGGCTGGGATGCACCTGTGTGGGAAGCATTGCTGGGGCTGGGATGCACCTGTGGCGGAAGCATTGCTGGGGCTGGGATGCACCTGTGTGGGAAGCATTGCTGGGGCTGGGATGCACCTGTGGCGGAAGCATTGCTGGGGCTGGGAGACACCTGTGTGGGAAGCATTGCTGGGGCTGGGAGACACCTGTGTGGGAAGCATTGCTGGGGCTGGGATGCACCTGTGTGGGAAGCATTGCTGGCGCTGGGAGACACCTGTGTGGCGGAAGCATTGCTGGGGCTGGGAGACACCTCTGTGGGAAGCATTGCTGGGGCTGGGAGACACCTGTGTGGGAAGCATTGCTGGGGCTGGGAGACACCTGTGTGGGAAGCATTGCTGGGGCTGGGAGACACCTGTGTGGGAAGCATTGCTGGGGCTGGGAGACACCTGTGTGGGAAGCATTGCTGGCGCTGGGAGACACCTGTGTGGGAAGCATTGCTGGGGCTGGGAGACACCTGTGTGGGAAGCATTGCTGGGGCTGGGATGCACCTGTGTGGGAAGCATTGCTGGCGCTGGGAGACACCTGTGTGGGAAGCATTGCTGGGGCTGGGAGACACCTGTGTGGGAAGCATTGCTGGCGCTGGGAGACACCTGTGTGGCGGAAGCATTGCTGGGGCTGGGAGACACCTGTGTGGGAAGCATTGCTGGGGCTGGGAGACACCTGTGTGGGAAGCATTGCTGGGGCTGGGAGACACCTGTGTGGGGAAGCATTGTTGGGGCTGGGAGACACCTGTGGGGAAGCGTTGCTGGGGCTGGGAGACACCTGTGGGGAAGCGTTGCTGGGGCTGGGAGACACCTGTGGGGAAGCGTTGCTGGGGCTGGGAGACACCTGTGGGGAAGCGTTGCTGGGGCTGGGAGACACCTGTGGGGAAGCGTTGCTGGGGCTGGGAGACACCTGTGGGGAAGCGTTGCTGGGGCTGGGAGACACCTGTGGGCAGAGTTGCTCAGGGTCAGGAGATGCCTGATCAGGGGTGGGGGCTCCTGCTTCTGAACATCACGGCAGAGGTGTGAGGGTAGCTGGCCTTTCAGGGGTAAGAGCAGCTTCTCAAATCCCAAGTCTCCTTTGCCTCCAGCACATGGGAACTGGGCTGTCAAGTCCCCAGTGTGTGGAGAAGCCCTGTCTGCCTGTTCACAGGGAAAACCTGAGCCAGCCTGGGGGGGGTTCTATGTCTCCCAGGCCAGGCATAGAGGCCACACGCCTGCTGGGTGTGAAGGGCCTCACGTCAGCTCCACAGCAAGTCCCAAGGGTCGTGCTGGGCGGGAAGCCACACTCAGAACGCAGTTAACTCCACAGCCACCACCATTGTGGGTGCCCTCGCCCACGGGGGACCTGGTACACAGGGCTTCACCTCCCAGGTATTCATTTCCACAGCTGTAAGGGGCTGTATGTGACCCCTCAGAGCAGGGCTAGGAGGACAGATGGTCAGCACTCGGAGGTCTGGCAGAGCTGCCCTGGGTGGGCCCGGGACTCCTAATGTCCTCCTCCGTCACTGCTGTCCTAGTGTCTCGTCATTTCGCCACTGTGATTGTCACCTCCGTCACTGCTGTCCTCCCTGTAGCCGCCGTCCCGGTCTCTCACGTCCTCATGTGCCTCGCCCTCGCTCCCTTCCCTCCCGCAGTGATGAACAGCAGCAGCCCCTCACCAACAGCCGTCAACGGTGCTCCGTCCACACCCAACGGTTTCAGCAATGGCCCGGCCACCTCGTCCACGGCCTCCCTGTCCACGCAGCACCTGCCCCCGGCCTGCGGGGCCCGGCAGCTCAGCAAGCTCAAGCGTTTCCTCACCACCCTGCAGCAGTTTGGCAGCGACATCTCTCCAGAGATCGGGGAGCGCGTGCGCACGCTGGTGCTGGGCCTGGTGGTGAGTCGGGCAGGGGCAGCCGGGGCCTTGGCACCTGAATATTCCCTCCGTTTAATGAAGATGCGGCACAGCCACCCCTCACATGGGCTCCATCCTGCCGACTGGGCGCGGACCCACTCCCGCGATGCTCCCTGCACCCTCCCAGGCTTGCCCGGCTCCTGGGCTGCCTCCAACATGGACCCTCCCCCTCAGGCATGGGCGGGACAGTGCCGGCTCTTGCTGAGTGGTGCCGACAAGAGGTGTTTTCTCCCCTGTAGAACTCGACGCTGACGATCGAGGAGTTTCACTGCAAGCTTCAGGAGGCCACCAACTTCCCTCTGCGGCCGTTTGTCATTCCTTTCCTGAAGGTAATGGCAAACCCCGTCCCTCCCTGTGAGGCCCCGAATCTGTTCATTGCTAGTGCGTGATCAGGCGTCAACCCTGGCCAACCTGGGGCCCTCTAGTAACCTAGGGGAACACTACTGACTAATCTGGGCTGATTCCTACTAGTTAAGGCCTGAAAATTAGTTAGCAGACCAGATGATTAGCCACTAAATCCAGTGCAGGAGGCCAGGCGCGGGGGCTCATGCTTGTGACCCCAGCACTCTGGGAGGCCGAGGCGGGTGGATCACGAGGTCAAGAGCTCAAGACCATCCTGACCAACATGGTGAAACCCCATCTCTACTAAATACAAAAATTAGGCTGGGCATGGTGGCATGTGCCTGTATAGTCCCAGCTACTGAGGAGGCTGAGCAGGAGAATCACTTGAACCCAGGAGGCAGAGGTTGCAGTGAGCTGAGCTCATGCCACTGTACTCCAGCCTGGGTGACAGAGCAAGACTCTGTCTCAAAAAAAAAAAATGCACTGCTGGGCAGAGCTGTCCGATTCAGCTCCGGTTGCCGTCGGCTGGATGTGCTCATGCCACAGATGATGCTTGAGCACTAACGACGCACCAGCTTTAGGCGAGGCTTGGGGACAAGGCCCAGGACGTGGGGCAGGTCCCTCCTGGGGCCGGGAAGGCACTCAGCCCACAGCCACTGGCAAATCTGCATGTGTGTGGTGGAGAAATTCCGAAAGCCCCTTGAGCGGGGGGGCATGCTGGCAAGGGCCAAGGATGAGGGCGGAGCTGGATGCAGAGCCAGCCCCTGGCTTTCCAGGCAGGGGGACCTGCACGTGCAAAGGCCCTGAGGCATGGGGCACCCTCTGGGCTTGAGGAACAGCAGAGGCTTCCGTGTGACGCAGAGAGCAGAGGAGAGGGTGGGATGTGGCGGACAGGCGGCGGGCAGGCAGGAAGCAGCCTATGTGACAGGTAGGCGGGTGGGTGAAGCGCTGTCAGGTGGAAGCAGGTCAGAGGTCACACCCAGATTGACTGTGGACTAGGGTGGCAGCACCAGGAGTGTGCCAGCCACACAGGCTCTCGGCCCGGCCCAAACCTACTCAGTAGGAGCCTGCATTTTCAAAGATGCCAGTCTGAGGAGCAGGGATTGTTTGAGGCCGGGAGTTCAAGACCAGTCTGGGTCATATAGCTACACCCCATCTTTTTTTTTTTCTAAGACAGAGTCTTGCTTTGTCGTCCAGGCTGGAGTGCAATGGCATGATCTTGGCTCACTGCAGCCTCCACTTCCCACTTTCAAGGGATTCTCCTGCCTCAGCTCCCAAGTAGCTGGGACTATAGGCGCCTGCCACCACACCCTGCTAATTTTTGTATTTTTCATAGAGATGGGATTTCACCATACTGGCCAGGCTGGTCTCGAACTCCTGACCTTGTGATCTGCCCACCTCGGCCTCCCAAAGTGCTGGGATTACAGGCGTGAGCCACCGTGCCCAGCCACTAGACCCCATGTTTAAAAAAGCAATTAAAAATCAGCTGGGCATCGTATGCACCTGTGGTCCCAGCTACCTGGGAGACTGAGGTAGGAGGATCGCTTGAGCCCAGGAGGTCAAGACTTCAGTGAGCCGTGATTGTGCCACTGCACTCCACCTGCCTGACAGAGTGAGACCCTGTCTCTGAATGAATGAATGAATGAATGAATCAAGCCAATGATTCCCACACACATACAACGGGACAGGCTCAGGGCTGCTGCAGAGTCAGACGACCCTCTCTGCAGGCCTCCGCTCCTGGGCTCAGGGGACTCTCCACCTCAGCCTCGCTGGTAGCAGGGACTAGAGGGAGGCATGGCACGTTCTCGATTCACGTGGGGCATCGTCACCGTTCTGGGATTTGCAGTGTCCCACAGAGGAGGAATGTTTTATAAGGATCTCTCACCCACCTGTTGACCCGTCAAGGTGTATCATAGCACAGCCATGTTTCCAATTAGCAGGTGGGGAAACTGAGGCCCTTGGTTTCTCCCCCCACTCCCCGCACCGGGTGGTGGAGAGATGGAGCCAGGGCTGAAACCTGGGTGTGTCAAACTGCAAACGCCACGGCCATCACAGGGCACTCCCAGGCCGCGGCCCTTGTTTCCTTCAGTCCATCCCCAAGTGGACCCACATCACACCTACCTCCACTCCCACCCACCCTCCCTCCCCCCCTTCTTCCCTCCACCACCCCCACCTACCTTCCCTCCCTCCTCCGCCTCCTCCCACACCTCTGTGCTCCTGCCCCCAGCTGGGCAGAGGAGAAGCTGCTGGAGTGGCGGGAGCCTGGGCCCGTCTGGTGCTGTTTGCGGTTCCTTAGCGGCTCCCTTCCCTTCCTTAACTTGCTTCAGGCTCCACCCCTCCCGACCTCTGGGGACACTGTACAGCTGCTTATCAGCAGCAGATGCCCCCCAGCCTCAGCAACCCCTTCTGCCCCAGGAGCAGGGTCAGGCAGAGAGATGCCACGGTGTCCCCATGCCTGCCTGCCAGGCTGCGGCCCCTGCCCTGATGTCTGGTCAGGCCCTGGTGCCCATGACCATGCCCTAGCATGGCACCACCCACGGCACTATTCTCAAGAGGGTCCTGCCTGCCTCAGTCTCCCCTAGGTACACAGGGGCTCCCATTGGCCTGTGCGGGGCAGCTGGAGTGTGGGGCGTCCCATCTCATGCCCCCACCCAGGGCCGAGGCCAGCGGTACTGTCCAGGACGTGAAGTCCATTCTCCTCTCCAACATGGAGCTCAAGGGGGAGGCCAGAAGGATTCAGAAATAAATAAAATGTAAAAATCAAGATCCTTCAGCCAGTTCTCCTTCTGGGACTGTTAGTTACCCAGATACTGTCCAGAACCCTGGCCCTGCTGCCCCACCCACACCCACCGCAGGGCCACAGCGCGGGGCACCCTCACACAGCCTTGGAGACATCATCCTAGAAACAGCAGGTGTGAGACGTGGCAAAAACGAAGTAGCAGCAGTGAGGACAGAGGGAGAGGCCGTGGGAAGGTGCAGCGCAGGCTTGTGGCCGAGGCGCCGGCGGGGGTGGGCCTCTCTGGCTGGAACTCCCGCCCTGGCTTCGGTCCTCTCTTCCCCAGCTGGGGTGGTGAATCTGGTGAATCCCAGAGAGGACCAGGCTAATTCACCCGGAGCTCGCCAGGGCTGGTCTCAGCCAGAGTCTCCACAGCTCTAGTTTGCAGATGCGGCCAGGGTCAGAGAGGTTAAGTGAGCTGTGGGAGACCACAGCCCCTGGGCGCCAGAGCCTACAGTCAGGGAGGCTCTAGCTGGGCGCTTGGCAGAGCAGCGGAGTCCCTGAAAGCCCTTTGGCTGAGCTAGCACCTTGGCCACCGCTGCCACCATTGCAGACACCAGTTCCCCGGCCTGAGGTCCCTTCTGTGCAGAGGGCAGCTTCAGGCGTGCTCAGTTACCACCTCTATTAGGCGGTGGAGTTAGGGCATTTTGTGACCAGCTCGGTTTGCATAGCATTTAGTGGTGACACCTCCCAGGCAGCCGGGGCTCCTGGGGACACAGTGGGGACACTGCCTCGAAGGAGGCTTCACAGGAGGCTCCCACAGTCCCCACCCCATTCTGCAGGCCTGGGGATGTGATTCCCTGCTGGCTCAGGGCTGCTGGGCCTCTGGCCCACACACTGGTGCTGCCCAATCCCGGGTCCCCTGCACCCTTTCCTGAGCCCCCCACATGTGGCCGAAGGGTCAGGCTCTCCAGAAGCTGGGGGACATGGCTCCACCCACCGCCCAGTTCCCAGCTGGCCCCAGCTGGCCACAGACCCAGATGTTCTCCCAACAGCGCCCAGCAGGTTCCCGAACTGGCCAAGGGGAGGTCCCTGGGGAGAGGCTGACGAGGGAAGGGAGGATGTTTGGCTCTCAGCCCTCCCGGGACCTCCTTTCCCAGCTCATGCTCCTAATGTGCTCAACAGATGGCTGGTTGGCCCCAGTTCAGCTATCCAAAGAGAAAAACAGACCGGCAGCCGGCACTGCCAGAGGGCCTGGTGGATGCACTCCTGGGAAGGGGAGGTGCTGGCGGGAGAAGGCGTGGTGGCAGCTTTGAAATGCATGAGAAAGTTGGGGAATTATATTTATTTACAATACTTGGAACTGCTGGCTCTCCCAAGTGGTCTGCTGCCGGGCCCTGGTCCAGCGCGCTCAGGGTCCAGCGCGCTCAGGGTCCAGCGCGCTCACCGTCCAGCCTGTCTGCCCTCCTGCGGCAGCTCTGGGAAGACTGTGGGGAAGTCACACAAGGGGCCCAGCTTGCTGCCCAGCAGTGCCAGCCTGGAGCCAGGGAGGGGGCGGTGCGCACCTCGGGTCCACACAGGCGTCAAAGGCAGGGTCCGCACAGGAAGCCTGTGTGCTGGGCGTCCCACACTGCAGAGTCCTTACCCGCAGATGTGGAGCCAGGTCTCAGCCCTGTCCTCATCGAGGTTGGGGGGTCACTGGAGGAAGTACCACATGCTCAGAGCAGCGTGGCCACAGAACACTAGAGTTCAGTCCCCACTCCACGCTCCATCCAGGCCAGGCTGGAAACCAGTGGGGAGGGGAGGCCGACTCTGTGGCGTTTGTCATCAGGGCTGGAGCGGACAGACTGCGGGCAGACCAGCCTGGCTCCACTCCCGGCTCCCCGTGTGACCGGCTGCAGGCTCAGAGCTACCTCCCTGCTCTGAGCCTGCACCTATCCAGCTGTGCCCGGTCCTGTGGTGCCTGCCGGGCGGGACAGGAGGGAGCAGGTGGGAAGAGCAGCCACTGTCTGTGGCACCCTCCTTCTTGCCCTCTTCCGACCACGCCATGCGAGGGAGCTCCATGCAGTGGGAGCCCGGGATCTGGCTCATGTTTCACACGCCCCACATAGCTGTGTGGCCCAGGTGAGGCTCTCCCACAGGTGAGATGAGCCTTCGTGAATCTAGCTCAAGTTCCACATGCACTAAGTGGCTGTGTGGCCCAGGTGAGGCGCTCCCATGAGCCTCCGTGCCCACCCTCTCACAGCACTGTGCCCAAGTCACGTTGAGCCATCAGTCACCCAGCCCCGGCACTGCTCGGACCCAAGTGGAGCTGGGCACCCCTGCACGCCATCCACGCTCTCCACACCCTCTTTCCCCACCCCACAGGCAAACCTGCCCTTGCTACAGCGGGAGCTCCTGCACTGTGCCCGGCTGGCCAAGCAGACACCCGCCCAGTACCTGGCCCAGCACGAGCAGCTCCTGCTGGACGCCAGCGCCTCCTCCCCAGTTGACTCCTCAGAGCTGCTGCTGGAAGTCAACGAGAACGGCAAGAGGAGGATGCCCGACAGGTACCTATGGGCTCCGGGCATCTGGGCTGAGGGTGCGGTGGACATGCAGCTCATGCTGCTCCCCTCTTGGTAAGAGAAGGAGCCTCCTCTGGGACCTCAGCCAGCCCAGCCAGCCTCTATGCAGGTGGACATCCCAGTGGGCTGCAGGCTCAGATGCTCCAGAGAGCTGAGGAGGACAGAGAGGAGGCTGATGGGAGTCGCTACCCAGCTCTTCCCTCTGTTCTGGGCATGGACTCCAAGTGTCCAGGGATTCGGGGTCCCCAGGTGCCCAGGCTGGGCCCACTGTGCTGCCACAGACGGGCTTGTGCTGCTACTGCCCAAGGGGCAGGTGGTCTCCAGTCCCAGGAGGCCAGTGTACCCCATTCCTCATTGCCAGAGCACAGGGTCGTGCTCCTGGACCACTGAGCCCCAGAAATCCATGCAGCTCCAGCAGGGACTGAGGCTGGCTTGGGCCCTGGCAGAGGGGTGGATAGTGCAGGCCCTGGGCTGGGCCCCCCAGGGCTGGTATTATGCTCCATGTCTCTGTCTCACCCTTATGTGTCCTCTTTCTCTCTGCCCACGCCTGTCTGCCGTACCCCCTGCACGTCCGTCCCGGCTCATCCTGTATCCACTGACCCCACCCCGCCTGCTCTTTGGGCTAGGACCAAAGAGAATGGGTCAGACCGTGACCCGCTGCACCCCGAGCACCTCAGCAAACGGCCATGCACCCTGAACCCTGCCCAGCGCTACAGCCCCAGCAACGGGCCAGCACAGCCCACGCCGCCACCACACTACCGCCTGGAGGACATGGCCGTGGCCCACCACTTCCGAGACCCCTACCGCCACCCAGATCCCCAGGAGCTGCGGGAGCGCCAGCGGCCACTCGGTAAGCAGTGCAGTGGGGCAGGAGCGTGGACGCATGTACACCTGAGCAAGTGGGCACAAGGCGTCACCGGCAGCTGTGTGCACCTGAACTCAGGAGACCCCTGCCTCCAACTGGCACCATTCAGGTCCAGGAGGGCCCCATCCCCCCGGGGCAGGGTGCTGGCTGCAGAGGGGCCTGTCCTGGGCCCTGAGCCCACCTCTACCCCTAGGGTGGGCAGCCTGGGCCTGGAGTAGAGCTGCCACGTGGTTCTCATCCAAGCTTGTCGATACCCTTGGTGCACCTGTAGGTGGGTCACGTGGCTCTCTGCATCTCAGTTTTCTCCATCACTTGGGTCAGATGAGAGTCCCACCTTGAAGAGGTGGCCCAGGAGAGTTAATACAGGGCCCAGTGAGGGCTGCTGAGGCCTGGCTAGTATTTATGACAGGGGGGTGGGAAAAAAGTCTCCATGCATTTTACCCTTTACTCATTCCCAAGCCTGTCGTCCGGGTGGCAGCAGCAACCCCATACCACAGATGAGGAGACTGAGGCCTGGAGAACACATGGACTGCACCCACAGTCTCATAGCCCAGCCTGCCCGACCTTCCGGCGTCCTCTGTGCTGAGGACTGAGAAGTGGTTAGGGCCAGCCCCAGGACCCCAGGACCCCAGGACTCCCCAGGACAGGCTGCGGGAAGGCCTCAGGCCTGCCATGCTGAGACAGAGGCCCAAGGCACGGTGGGGGCCCAGTGGCAGGGTCAGCAGAGGCCTTGCCCTGCCCAAGTCCGTCTCCCAGCCCCCAGCTTGTGGAAGGCTCCCAGGGCCAGACCCAGGCAGCAGGTGACAGCGTCTGGCGCACTGCAGCCGGTGGGGCAGGTGCTGACTCCCGCCCGCTTCTGCTGATGCAAAAATAAGCACCAGCTGTCGGGCTCATGTCAGCCACTATTTTGGTTGGGGTGTTGGTGCCGGCTGTGGCTTCGCAGGCGGCGGGGCAGGGTGGTGACTTTGAGCTGTGGCTGCCACCTCCCCACCTCTTCTGCAATTTCAGGGAGCCATTCCAGGTTCGGGGTATAGGAGATTGTTAGGGGCCGAAAGGGGCCCAAAGAGGAAGGCCTCAGGCCCGAGAAGCATGGCCCACGGCCAGATACCAAAAACGGTGGGGGCTGGAAGCCTCTTTCTCCAGGAGCCACGGGCGCAGCCACGCTGCTGGGCGTCACTCGCATGTCAGTTTCTGGTGACCTGTGGGAGTGGCCCCTGGGGCTTCAGACGGGAAGACCTGAGACGCGCTGCCTTGAGCAGAGTTGAGCTGAGCAAAGAACGTCTCCCAGATCAGGCGGTGCTCAGAGCCAGCGCGTCTGAGAGCCTGGCCTCGGCATGGCTTTGTCTGAGTCTCAGGCACCTGCAGGTGACCTCAGAGGGCTGCTGTGAATGACAGACCAGCTCCTCCCAGCAAGGTTTCCCATTAGTTTGACAGACCGAGGCAGGTGCAGGTCGTGTGTGACTTGGCACCGAGGCACCCTCAGGCCACGCTTGGTCTAGCAGGGCTTTTGTGGGCAGTGGCTGAGGACAGTGCTCCAGTCCAGCCAGGCTTGATCCGCACCAACGCTCCCTGCCTGGTGGCCCTGAGCAAACACATCCCCTAAACAGCCTCAGTTGCCTCAGCTGCAGAAGAGGACTGAGACTGGACCCTCCCTCGAAGGCGAGTGCACAGAGCCTGGGGCAGCTGAGTAACTCAGACGTCTTCCACGTGCACTGAGTCACCCAGCCCTTTGGTCACCCTGGGCATCATCCCCAGTGGGCACAGCCCATGGGTGGGGCTTGGGAGTAGAGGGTGGGGTCCAGGAGAATAGGGCAGAATCTGGCTGTGGGTGGAACCTAAGTGTGCACCTCCTCCGTCTGCAGTGGTGCCTGGGTCCCGGCAGGAGGAAGTGATCGACCACAAGCTCACAGAGCGTGAGTGGGCAGAAGAGTGGAAGCACCTCAACAACGTGAGTGTCCATGCACAGCCATGGCCGTGCACACAGCCACAGACACACACAGACATAGCCACACACACAGCCACAGTCACACACAGCCACACACACACTCATGCACACAGCCACAGACACACACATAGACACAGCCACACACACACAGCCACACTCACACTCATGCACACAGCCACAGACACACACATAGACACAGCCACACACACACAGCCACACTCACACTCATGCACACAGCCACACCTACCCACACAGCCGCACTCACACAGCCACTCACACACACAGCCACACTCACACTCATGCACACAGACACAGACACACACACACACAGCCACACCCACACTCATGCACACAGCCACACTCACACTCATGCACACAGCCACACCTACCCACACAGCCACACTCACAGAGCGTGAGTGGGCAGAAGAGTGGAAGCACCTCAACAATGTGAGTGTCCATGCACAGCCATGCCCGTGCACACAGACACACACACACACTCACAGACACAGCCACACACACACAGCCACACACACAGCCACACTCACACACAGCCACACACACACAGACACAGACACACACACACAGCCACACTCACTCATGCACACAGCCACACCTACCCACACAGCCGCACTCACACAGCCACACTCACAGACACGCTCATGCACACAGCCACACTCAGACACAGACACACTCATGCACACAGCCACACTCAGACAGACACACTCATGCACACAGCCACACTCAGACACAGACACACTCATGCACACAGCCACACCTACCCACACAGCCACACCCATAGACACAGCTGCACTCACACCCCCACACACAGACACAGCCACACTCATGCACACAGACACACTCATGCACACAGCCACACCTACCCACACAGCCGCACTCACACACAGCCACACTCAGACACACTCATGCACACAGCCACACTCAGACACACTCATGCACAGAGCCACACTCAGACAGACACAGTCATGCACACAGCCACACCTACCAACACAGCCACACCCACAGACACAGCTGCACTCACACCCCCACACACAGACACAGACACACTCACGCACACAGCCACACATGCACACAGCCACACTCATGCACACAGCCACACTCATGCACACAGCCACACATGCACACAGCCACACTCATGCACACAGCCACACACATGCACACAGCCACACATGCACACAGCCACACTCATGCACACAGCCACACATGCACACAGCCACACTCATACACACAGCCACACTCATGTACACAGCCACACATGCACACAGCACACAGCCACACTCATGCACACAGCCACACTCATGCACACAGCCACACATGCACACAGCCACACTCATGCACACAGCCACACTCATGTACACAGCCACACATGCACACAGCACACAGCCACACTCATGCACACAGCCACACATGCACACAGCCACACTCATGCACACAGCCACACTCATGCACACAGCCACACTCATGCACACAGCCACACATGTACACAGCCACACATGCACACAGCCACACTCATGCACACAGCCACACTCATGCACACAGCCACACATGCACACAGCCACACATGCACACAGCCACACTCATGCACACAGCCACACTCATGCACACAGCCACACATGCACACAGCCACACTCATGCACACAGCCACACATGCACACAGCCACACTCATGCACACAGCCACACTCATGCACACAGCCGCACTCATGCACACAGCCGCACTCATGCACACAGCCACACATGTACACAGCCACACTCATGTACACAGCCACACTCATGCACACAGCCACACTCATGCACACAGCCACACACATGCACACAGCCACACATGCACACAGCCACACATGCACACAGCCACACTCACGCACACAGCCACACTCACGTACACAGGCACACAGCCACACTCACGTACACAGCCGCACTCACGCACACAGCCGCACTCACGCACACAGCCGCACTCACGCACACAGCCACACACGCACACAGCCACACACATGCACACAGCCACACCCATGCACACAGCCATGCCCATGCACAGCCACACCCAGGAACACAGCCATATTCACGCACACACAGACACACACACACAGCCACACCCACACACAGCCATGCCTGCATAGCTACACCCATGTGGGTGCCCCTGAGCTCAGTGCCTGCCTGTGTGGCCTGCCACATCCCCTCCCAGCTGCACATCCTCACCTGAGCTCCCCACCACCGCCGCCCCACTGTTGGCCCAAGCTGGTGCAGGGCATTGTGAGAAATGGAGCAGGGTTCATGAAACTGACAGGACCAACATGGTGGGCCTCACCTTCTGTCTACCTGTTGTCTGCTCACTGGCTCTTCCCAGAGTATATCCTGAGTCTCAGAAGAAGTTTGGGGAAAAGCAATTCTGGGGCCTCTTTGAGGCAGGACACGTGCAGGGATGGCCCCTGAACTGGCTCCTCTCAACCCACCCACCCCATGCTGCAGCCTGTTCCGGGAGGGGTCGCCGGGACAGAAGGGGAGCCCAAACAGAAAGCCAGGTCTCTGAGGCAGAACCCACCTTAGTGGGTTAAAAAGGAGAATACCAAACTCCTGCGTGCATCTGAGCACATGTCCTGTGTGAGTCTGGTACCCACAGGTGCTGGGCAGTCCCAGGCCAGGGACCCGTCTTCCCAAGCAGTGGAGGCGAACTTCACCCCCCACCCTCATGGGTGTTGGGCTGGCTGGGCACCCCTCCTGTCTGTGGCCTAGCCCGGTGGGCAGCACAGGGAGTGTCTGCTGCACCCTGGTCCCCCGAGGTGCTGAAGGCTGCCTGCCTGCTCGCCCCAGCTCCTGAACTGCATCATGGACATGGTGGAGAAGACGCGGCGCTCACTCACGGTGCTGCGCCGGTGCCAGGAGGCTGACCGTGAGGAGCTCAACCACTGGGTGCGGCGCTACAGCGATGCAGAGGACGTGAAGAAGGGCCCCACTCCCGCCACCACCCGGCCCCGCAGCAGCTCTGCCGGCCCTGAAGGGTCTCAGCTAGGTGTGTGGGGGGCAGGGGGCACGGGGTGCCCCTGGCGGGGCTGACACCTGGGAGAGCTGTCAGGCAGGCAGTTCCGTCAGACACCAGGCAACAAAACAGGTTCATATGAGAGGCACCTTTTTCACTTCGTACAAACACACTGCTTGGTCTCCTGGGAGGCCTGGAGCTCAGGGCATCCAGTGGGCCAAAGGATGAGAGTGGGGAGGCCCTGAGGGTCCTCCCCCTCGATGATGCAGAGACCAGGAGAGGCTCCCAGCCGAATCCAGGGGCCACAGCTCTCACGCCCCCATGCTCGAGCACTGCCCTGGGCACCTGCCGACTGCGCCAGACGGTGACCAGGGCACCTGGGCCCTCCCCCAGGGAAGCACATGCACTTGCCCTGCATTCAGGCCCAGCTGGGGTGTGCAGGGCCCCGTCGTGGAGGGCCCATCCTGTGTGGCGGGCAGCCATGGGGCAGCCATGTGGCTCATCCTGTGTGACGCTGGCCCCTGTTTCAGACATCCCCCGGGAGTTCCTGCCGAGGACCCTCACCGGCTACATGCCTGAGGACATCTGGAGGAAGGCAGGTGAGTGGAGACGGCCTGGGCAAGCAGTGCTGTGGGAGGCCAGGGCCCCAGACACCCCCAGCTGAGGCGCTCCTGTGTCCATCTGGGGGCTTGGGCTAGCAGGGTTTTATGCCTTCCGCCCTGTGGCTCACCGAGGAGTCAGAGTAGATTCACAGTCAGAGCGGGATGGCTGCTACCTGCAGCTACCCGGAAATGGACAGGCAGCTGCCCAGCAGAATACAGTGGGTCCTGGCCCTGCACACCCAGGGGGGCATGCGGAAGCAGACACACTCGGAGCCTGGGGCCTGAGTCCATGCAGAAGGGGGCAGAACACAGGCGGACGTGGAGCTGAGTGCTGGGCAGGGCTGTGGGGGGAGGGGCTGGGGCGGAGCAGGGTCTGTGGACAGCCAGAGGGGCCAGTAGAGGAGGTGGGGCCCAGGTGGGGTTCAGCCTTTGGCTGGGCTCATTGTGTGGGTTGAGGACTAGGGAGGAAAATATTGACATGGAGGGAGTGGAGGGTCCCAGCCTGGAGTTCGGGGTAAGGTTGCAGACTCCAGGGCTGCCAGGAGCAAGGCTGGTGGGTGAGGACAGGTCTGGACCCCCAGCCTGGATGGCAGGAAGGAGTCCTCACTTGCCTGGCCTGCCCCAACTCCGTCCAACCCCATGGTGGAGCCTTGTAGGGCATCTGCTGACGTCTGGGCAGTGATCTCAGGCCAGGGTCTGTTGGCCACTGCCCAGTCAGGGGGCCCCTGCTAGCAGCTCCACGCAGCCCAGTGTCCAAACACCAGGACAGGGAGGCTCATGGATCTGTCTTGACCCCTTCAGCGGGGCCCTGCTAATCCCACTCCTCCCCCTGTGGCCAATTCCCAGTCAAGTCCCTCACCCTGCTGTAGGAACAGTAATCTGGGTAAACTGAGGTAGGCCTGGGAGGCCTTGGGGGCCATTTAGTGAGATTCCTGGGAGAGGGAGAGGGTGTCATTCACGACATTGGAGGGCACAGTCCAGAGTGGACACTGGGCATGGGCAGGGCTGGGCAGTGGTACCAGGGTCTCCAGCTGGCCCGAGGATCTCTTTCAGTGGTGGAGTTGAAACCCAGCCTCCCCAGCTGGGCGGCGGTGCTCTGTGCAGCTGCTCTCTGCACCTGCCCCACTTTAGCACAGATCAGGATCAAACAATGGGGTCAGGGAGCATGGTCTTCTGAAGCCAGCCAGGGTAGAGGATGGCAGGTGTGGTGAGGAAAACAGAGCAGGCTCTGGGGTGACGGCACAGAGCCCTGGACGAGGGGCTTCCTTGCTGCTGCTGGGTGGGGCCGGAGGTGAAGGCAGACTTGTCCAAGCGTTTTGGGTGCGGCTCCCGGAGCAGCAGCAGCAGCCGCTCACCCGGCTCTTGTGAGGAATGCAGGCTCCAGGCATGCCCACAGCTACGCCAGACTCTGGGGTAGGCCTGGCCGTGGCCCTGCAAGGGTGCAGCGCCTGGGGAGCTGCTGCAGTAGAGCATGAGCTTAGAAAAGCCTCCCGTGTGCTGGCCAGGGGACCCAGCTTGCGCAGGCGTGCCTGGGATGCCCACGATCTGCATGCAGTTGTGTCTGTACAGGCATAAAGCCATCAGCATGTGCCTGTGTGCACCACATGCTCTGTGTGTCCAGCTGCCCATGGTGATCGCAGATCACGGCCCCCAGGGTGTGGGCGTAGGAAGCCCAGACACCCATCTGGTATGGCCCATGTGACCGCCATCCCTGCCCGTGTCCCTTGCAGAAGAGGCGGTGAATGAGGTGAAGCGCCAGGCCATGTCAGAGCTGCAGAAAGCCGTGTCGGATGCAGAGCGCAAAGCACACGAGCTCATCACCACGGAGCGCGCCAAGATGGAGCGGGCCCTGGCCGAGGCCAAGCGGCAGGCCTCCGAGGACGCGCTGACGGTGGTCAACCAGCAGGAGGACTCCAGCGAGGTAGGGCTACCCGGCCAAGCTGGCACCCGCCCCTGCCTCAGCTCCTGTGCACCCCATGCCACCCCCGTGCCACCCGCATGAGCATTCTGCGCCTCCATAGCATCGGCACACACACCATCCCTTCCCACGAGGTGCTTATCAGCACAGAGACCCCACATGGCCTGGTGAGGGGTCCTGCAGGTGTCCCCCTTCTATAGATGCAGAAGGTGATGGCACAGGAGGGTTCCGGTTTGTCTGAGGTCACTACCTTGGGAAGTGGTGGGGCCAGGACTCGAGCCCAGGGACGGAGCCCCACTCTGTCACCCAGGCTGGAGTGCAGTGGCGTGATCTTGGCTCACAACCTCCGCCTCTGGGGTTCAAGTGATTCTCTTGCCTCAGCCTCCCGAGCAGCTGGAACTATAGGCACCCACCACCACGCCCGGCTAATTTTTGTATTTTTGGTAGAAATGAGGTTTTGCCATGTTGGCCAGGTTTCTCTCAAACTCCTGACCTCAGGTGATCCACCTGTCTCAGCCTTCCAAAGTGCTGGGATGACAGGCGAAGGCCACCGTGCCTGGCCTGAAACCCCTGTGAGAGCAGCAGGATCCAGGAGAGCTGTGAGGGCCCCACATGGCCTCTGAAGCACCCAGCTTCCTCCTGGTGCCCACGGCAGGCCTGAGAGTCACCCTGCTTGTGCCTCTGCATCTGGGAGGGGGTGGGAGCAGAGGACCCTCTGTGACTCTTTTCCACCTAGTCCAGGAAGAGGGGAGAGCAAGGGACCCTTTCCAGGGGAGCCCCGGGAGTATCCCTTGAGACAGCAGTTCTCTGTCCAAAGCCCCTGTGTGTGTCTGTGCCTGGGCCAGCCCTGCAGTGGGAGGAGATGGAGCACATCAATTCAGGCGTCTCTGCACCAGCCCTTTCTACACATGCTCTCAGCTGGGAAGAAGCTAGAACAGAACAGGGAAAACTCTCACAGAGCTGGCACTTGAGTGGGTACAGAGAGAAAGAAACAACACGCAGAAGTGAGGCGTGTAGTTTCAGGAGGGGGAGGTGTGTGGGGAACGGGTTGTGGAGGCCTCATGGCCGGGGACACCTGAGCAGAGGCCAGGAGGAATTAAGCTGGCATCAGGGCAGAGGATGAAGCTGGCTATGTGGGCATCAGGGCAGCAGGCCCAGCAGAGGGACCGGCAGGGACCAGGGCCAGGGGCGGGGACCGTGCCCGGAGGTGCAGGGTCTGCAGGGGGCTGCAGTGGCTGTGGCAGTGAGGGCAGGGTGGTGTTGGAGGTGGTACCAGAGGCTTTGGAGCCCAAACAGGGACCTGGGCTTCTCCCCTGGGGCAGGTTTGGGCTTCCTGTCCCACAGCCCAACCGTCTGTGTGAGAGCTCCAGCTGGGCCCCAAGAAGAAACATGCTCAGGCTTCGTGTGGCTTCCCCGACCCCCTGTGTTCACAGCCATACCTGGGGCACAGCTCACTCTACAGGAAGGGAGCAGAGCCCACCACAGGGTGGGGGCAGAAGTGGTGGGGTATACCAGAGGTGGGGGTGTCAGAGGGGGGTGTGCAGCAGAGATGGTGGGTGGGGGGCACAGGCAGGGTATGCAGCAGAGGCAGGAATGGGGCAGAGGTGAGGAGGGAGACAGGTGGGGGCAGAGGTGGGGGAGGGGAGGGAGACAGGTGGGGGAGGGGTCAGAGGGGTCATGCAGCAGGGGTTGGGGCGCTGGTGGTGTGCAGCAGAGATGGACGGTGAGGTCTCAGTAGCCTCAGTTCTTCGGGGGCCACGGCCGTGCCCTTCAGTTTCCTGGTGAGCTCAGGAGGGCTTCCTAGAGGTGAGGCAGGGGCCGTGGTCCAGTCAGCACAGTGCACACCTGTCTGGGTGGGCTGGAGCGTGAGTCTACACTGTCCCCCCAGATGGCCCGGTGAGTGGCTGTGTCTGGGGAGCGGCCTGAGGGCTGTGGGCTTAGGAGCTTCTCTCTTCTCACCTAGTGAGACATGGCTGGGTCTGAGTGGCTTGGTTGGGGCCTGTGCTGGGGATTTGTGTGACCTGACCCAGCCCTGATGGGCCCCTCTGCCCCCACGCAGAGCTGCTGGAACTGTGGGCGGAAGGCCAGCGAGACGTGCAGCGGCTGCAATGCAGCGCGCTACTGCGGGTCCTTCTGCCAGCATCGGGACTGGGAGAAGCACCACCACGTGTGCGGTCAGAGTCTGCAGGGCCCTGCGGCCGTGGTGGCCGACCCGGTGCCCGGACCGCCTGACACCGCCAACGGCCTGGGCCCCTCCCTGTCCATGGGTGCTGCCAGCCCCAGTGAAGCCAGCTCTGCGGGGCCTTCTCGACCCGGCTCCCCCAGCCTGCCTGGCCCGCTGGACTCCGTGCCCCGCTGACCCGACTGGACCCCGACCTGCTGGACACGGTACCCTGCCAACACCACCCAGCTCTGGGCCCTCCAGATGCCCGGCCCGCCAGATGCTGCGCCCTGCCCGCCCCAGGGAGCCGACCAATTAGAGTCAGTGCTGCTACCACGCCTCTCCAAAAGAAGACAGAACCAACAGAACCGCATTCAGTGCACCTGCCTCAGCTACCTGATGATTCCACGCACAGACCTCCTGGCAGCCTCTCTCCTCAAGCATCCTCAGAAGCCTCAATGAGCTTTAGATGGCAGAGTGGTGCCACAGGAGCGATGGCCCTGCCTGCCTGTCTCTTTCTCTTCCTCTCCCCGCACCGTCTTCTCTATCCTCTGCCCTCTCTCTCTGTGACTATCACACACTTTCTCTTCAATGACAAATTCTAATTGGTGGCTTACAGTTTCAGCAAAGCATTTTGGGGGGGTTTGTTTGTTGGCAAAAGAGCTAGTCAGAAATGGACAAAGAAAACTATGGGGGTTCTCCCTCTCCTCATTGAAAAGGGAGAAAGAAAACTGTGATTTTTATAGCGAGCCGGCTGGGCCCCTCCCCCAGGGGCCTGAGGCAGATCCTGGAAGACGGAAGGAAGGATTTCAGTTTCTGACTCAAGGAGCGTTACTGGTTTCAGATTTTTTTTTCCGTGTAATGTTAAACTCTTTGGCTTTAAGTAAAAATCCAAAAAGTTTTTTATAAAAGCAAAGGAAGCATACTTGTGAACTACCTTGCCAGCTAGCCAGCCAAGGACACCGGACACACCTCTGCTCCAAAGGAGACCCAAAAACGTGAACACAAGAAATCAAAATCCAAACTCTGTCTGTAGCTGCCAGAGTACTTCCACTGTCTCCCTTGCTCTTGGGTTTGCCTGGATGTGGGTCTTTTCTGTTTCGGGTTGGTTTGTGGGGTGTCGGGGTATTGGGATGTGGAGGGTTTGCGCCCAGTGAGAAGCGACTTCTGTTTCCTTCCGAGTAGGCGTCGGTACGTCCGCCGCGGGTGCACAATCCGTGCGTGGGCGCTGCGGCCAGTGTCTCCGGGCATGTCGGGAAGGACACGCTGTTTGTCCTCATGCCCCCTGTGACTTTTCATATTTCCTTTTTCCACTTGTGAAAAAAAAGTGCTAACATTTTCTTCCCAGAGAGAGCATAATTCTGAAACAAAACTGTGACAGTCCCTTGGGTTGTTGACTGCTTTTCCGGCATGCGGAGACAGCAGGGCTCCCGAAGACGCCTCTTCTCGGCCAGCCCTTCCTCCTCTACCTCTCCTCTCCGCGCCTCCGCCGTGTCCCGGCCCCATCGCCCCAACCCATGTCTCTCTGCAGCTACTCCCCTTTCTTCCAAACTTTTGCAGAAAAACAAAACAAAAAAACTACAAACAAAAGCAGCCCTCCGCCTCCTCCCAGGATAGACCCTGACTGTGGACACAGCCCTGGCGCTCCTGCCAGCCGCCCCTCAGATGCATCCGCCTCGGCCCTGGGATGCGTCTCGGTGCCGTTTCTGTCAGACTCTCTCCCTCCCACACGCCAGCCCTGCCCACCCTCCCGCCTCTCCTCTCATCTCCCCCAGCAATTTCAAGGAGTAAGTATAGGGATAAGGAAATTCACACTTGCACCGAGTACAAGGACAGACAGCAGGCGCGGCCCACGGCCTGGAGTCTCTGCGCGTGTCTCTAAGCAGTTCCAGGAACTCAGTGCAATACGGGAGTGACCCAGCTACTGAACGGGGTGCGGATGGCCCGAGAGGCCCGAAGCCGAGGGTGTATGTATATAGTGAATGTATATAGTCTTTGCAGAGGTCCAAATGATATTCATGATGAAAATACAGAAGAGATGTTTGCCAAATAAAGAGAAACTGGGAGTTTGCAAAGTGTAGGAAATAGATTTTCAAAGGAATCTGAACTGCGCCCCGTGGGGAGGAGTGGTGTGTCTGCTGCTGGGTCTTGCGTGGCTGTAACAATTCTTGCCTTGAGCATCGTAAGGAAGGCTCCCGTCGGGTCACCACCAGCCAGGTGACGTCTGGAACCAAGCCTGACAACAGAAACCTCATTCTGAAAGTTGAGATAGGTTGATTCTGTCCTCCAGACAGTGCCCCGGTCCTGGTAGCACCTCCAGACCCCAGTGACAGTCCCCTCAAGCTCCCAGAGGTCTGCTTTGCGGGTGTCACAGAAGCAAGGACTGGTCTGGGATTTGGGCTCTCGGTTAAGAGGCGGAAGAGTAGCAGCCTCTTCTCCCTCCCTGGCTGTCATTCTCCAGCGCCGAACTCACTCAGGGGCGGCATCGGATGCACCCTGCCTCCCTCAGAGGTGGGCGTCCTGGGACTCTCCCGCACTGGTGCAGTTGGGTGTGGTGTGGTGATCAGGGGCTCCAGGGGACAGAAGTAGGCTCTGTCCTGGGGGTAAACGGAGTCAGGCCCTCTAAGGTTGTGTGGTCTAAGGCTGTGTGGGTGAACGGGTGGTCTTTGTAGGGTGCCGAGCCCCGGGCATGGGGACCCATGGGCAGCTTCCCTGATGACTCAGGTCCCTGGGGCAGGCTGTGGAGGAGATGTGCCAGTTTGCCTTGTGGGCGAAATCCTCCTTTTTCCCTCCCCTCCCTGGGTCCTTCTTTGGGGGCACACAAGTGTACCAGGGACAGTGGCGTGCTCACCAGCTGGCTGCATCAGGCCAGTGGCCTTCAGGAGCCAGACCACAAGGCTAAGGGTGGGACAGGCCTTCCCACCGTAGCTCTGGGAAGGGGTCAGTCCTCAAGCCAAATAGAATCTGTAGCTTTGGAGAGGGGATGGGGACGGCAGCGATTTTGCATTAGGAGTGGTCCCCTGGCGGCCGTGAACACCTGTGCCCATGGTTCCAGCCTTCAGGCTGCATCTGCCTCTCTCGCCAGGGAGTGTGGGGTCTGGACAGAGGGTCAGAGCAAGGACTACACCTGCACTGGGGAGAACTGTCCCATCTCAGCCCCCTGCCCGGCTGCCACCTCCACAAACTCACAGACTGCTGCTCCCTGCCTGGACCACAGCAAGCCAAACGCTCTTCCGAGCTTCTTTCCCAAACCCAGACTAAATGGCAGCTATCTCTGCCATCCCGAGCCACAACCCAGACAGGGCAGCCATGCAGTGAAGGGCTCCAGCCCCGAGGCCCACCTGCAGGATGGCCTGAGGGGCTATGGGAACCAACATGGCCTCCGGGCCCTCGCTTTTGAAAGAGGCCCAAGATTCATGACCCTCAGCCTCTGCCACCACTCCTCTCACCTCCTTGGACCCAGGATATCCTCCTCTGAGAGGAAGTCTCCCACACAGCCCGTGCACCTGGAGGGCTCCTTCCAGCCCATCCTCTGACCTGACGGAGGCAGAGACCAGCGTCTCCCATCGTGCTCGAAGAGTGGGTGTTGGGAGGGGGTGGCTGGAAACCCCCAAGCCCCTCTGCCTGCCAGGGCCACCCTAGGACCTGGCCGGGGTGAGGCAGTAGGACTAGAGGGGCTAGTCTCCCAGGAGGGCCCATGAGACCCAGCCAGGTGGGGACAGACTACAAAGACCCAAGATGTTCAGTGACGGGAGCCCACCCAAACCACACAGCCACAGGGAACAAGATGGGCCCAGATGTCTCCTGTTTGCCCCTGTTTCCAAATAGTTCCTCAAGCTGACAGCAAAGCCTGACCCAAATCCACTCGCATCCATCCCATCCCCGTCCATCCCATTTCCATCCATCCCATTCCCATCCATCCCATCCCCGTCCATCCCAGCCCTATCCATCCCATTTCCATCCATCCCAGCCCCATCCATCCCAGCCCCATCCATCCCAGCCCCGTCCATCCCATTTCCATCCATCCCAGCCCTATCCATCCCATTTCCATCCATCCCAGCCCCATCCATCCCATTCCCATCCATCCCATCCCTGTCCATCCCATTCCCATCCATCCCAGCCCCATCCATCCCATTTCCATCCATCCCAGCCCCATCCATCCCAGCCCCATCCATCCCAGCCCCATCCATCCCATTTCCATCCATCCCATTTCCATCCATCCCATCCCCGTCCATCCCAGCCCCGTCCATCCCATTCCCATCCATCCCAGCCCCATCCATCCCATTTCCATCCATCCCAGCCCCGTCCATCCCATTCCCATCCATCCCAGCCCCATCCATCCCATTTCCATCCATCCCATTTCCATCCATCCCATCCCCGTCCATCCCAGCCCCGTCCATCCCATTCCCGTCCATCCCAGCCCCGTCCATCCCAGCCCCATCCATCCCATCCCCGTCCATCCCAGCCCGTCCATCCCAGCCCCGTCCATCCCAGCCCCGTCCATCCCATTCCCATCCATCCCAGCCCCATCCATCCCATTTCCATCCATCCCAGCCCCGTCCATCCCAGCCCCATCCATCCCATCCCCGTCCATCCCAGCCCCGTTCATCCCAGCCCCATCTGTCCCAGCCATGTTTGTGCCTGCCCCACCTGGCCCTCCAGTGACTGGTTCTCTCTCATCACTTTTTCTTCTGACTCATCTGTCTGTCCAGTATCCCAGAGATCACTTCACCCTGTCCCCAGCCCTCACCCTTTCCCCACCCAACCCTGCACCCCCGCACACACCCACAGGTGCCCACACATACTCCGTGCATCCCAGACACCCCACGTGTCCGCACATGTCCTGCACACCCCACGAGTCCCTGCATGCCCAACACGCATGTCCTCTGTGTGTCCTCTGGCCACCCACACAGCCATCCCTCAATCCTACCCTTTCTCCCCCCCATGGACCTCAGAGCAGCACCAGCTGCCCCTGTGTGCCGGTGGCAAGAGCTGCTGGCTCCTCCCATGAGCTCAGCTGCTGCCTTAAGGAAACCTGCCTGTGGGCAGCAGCCCCTCCAGTGCACAGCCAGGTCCAGGACTGCTCCAGACACGTCCAGGGGCAGCTAAGATTCTGGCAGGTGCTGTGAGCAGGTGGGACCAGCACCTCACAACAGCTCTGGCCAGTCGGGGTCACCTGGGGTGTGATGTGGGTGTCCAGGCCCCAGCGTCCAGGAGTGCACACTGGGTGGCTGCTCACACACCTGCCCAGGGTCCCCGTCCCGTATAATCACACCTGTAATCCCAGCACTTTGGGAGGCCGAGGCAGATGTATCACCTGAGGTCAGGAGTTCCAGCACATTCCCTGGCAGGGCCACGATGCTGTAGGGTGGGGCCGCCCTCTCCCACTCCTTGTTTCCAGGGGTCAGTGCCTGGAGGGGGTGTCCCCAGGAGCCAAGGAGCTGCAGCCTCCTGAGACCCCAGCACTCCCGAAGCTCCGCTCCTCAGGGGTTAACGGGGGTGCCAGTCTCCCATCCCCTTTCCCAGGGCTCCAGATGGCCCTGCCCGGATGAATTCTGCCAGGAGGGGTGGGTGCACCCCCGGACCCTCAAGACGTCCCTGCAGGTCCCTGCACTGCTTCCCCGTGCCCCAGGGGCCTATTTCCACCCGAACTGCCCCCAAAGCTCCCACACTTTCTGAAATGGGGCTGGGGCCACAGCCCTGGGTGAACAGCGTGCTGGCTGGAGAGGAAGACAGTCGGGGGGCAGGGGAGTCCATGGGGCTGGCCTCCCAGGGGCCCGCCAGCTCTGTGAACACTTCAGAGAGAGGCCAGGGTGCTGCTGACAGCCCCTGCCCGTTTCCCCAAAGGTTCAGGAAACTCCATTTTGCTGTCTGTTCTCTATGTTTCAATCCAGCCGAGCCCCGGAGTAGCTTCCCAAAGACCCCGAGTAATGGAAACTCAGCATCAGTACTCGGAGTAAAGCTGGCTTTTGAAATACATGAATGACAGCCACAGGCCTTGTTGTCCCCACCTGGGTGGATGGAGAGGCCGGCCAGGCCAGCTGTCAGCTCCCCGACCGCATCTGCCAGGGCCGAGGGGGTGGGGCCAGGAAGACAGGGCTGGGGCACAGCCACGCACCGCCTGGTGGGGACGGGACTTATTCTCTGCTTCCTCCTCCTATTTTTTCAACTCCCCCAAAGGAGCTGGACTGAGCACTGGGTTGTTTTCCTGCAGCTGTGAGAAGGCCCGCCCCGAGGCCTGTGTGCAGGTTTCGAGGTGCCCTCGCCCCCCTCCGATGTCCTCTGGGTTTGGCCCGTGGAAGCCGTGAGACGTGATGGTCAGAGTGACACCGTGTCCATGTAATAAAGCGAACGTTTGCCGTCGCCTGGCTGTGCCTCTCCTTCGGTCCCAGGAGGCTTCGGCAAAGCCTCATCTCACCCATGAACTCACCAAATACATGCCGGGCTTCTCCGCCCAGCAGGGACAGGCGTCCCCCACCACGTACGCTGAGGGGACAAACATGCCAGTGTGTGACGGGCTGGGCGATGGGGAAGAGGCGGGGTGGGAGCACACAGGCATGGAGGACACTCAGGTCCCAACAACTTCACACCCGGGAGCTGGTCCTGAGGGTTCCCAGACTGGAGTGCCCCTGCCTGAGCAGGCCGAGCCTCAGACAGTGCTGGGGCCACGATGCCTCCAACCCCGATGGGGGACACAGAAAACTGAGGGGAGACTGGATGTGGTGGCTCACACCTGTAATCCCAGCACTGTGGGAGGCCGAGCAGGGCGGATCACCTGAAGTCAGGAGTTCAAGACCAGCCTGGCCAACATGGTGAAACCCCGTCTCTACTAAAAACACAAAAAGTTAGCTGGATGTGGTGGTGCGTGCCTGTAATCCCAGCTACTCGGGAGGCTGAGGAAGGAGAATCGCTTGAACTCAGGAGGCGGAGGTTGCAGTGAGCTGAGATCACACCACTGCACTCCAGCCTGGGTAATAGACCAAGACTATAAGAAAAAAAGAAAAGGAAAAGAAGAGAAGAAAGGAGGAAGGGAGGGAGGAAGGGAGGGAAGGAGGGAAGGAGGTAGGGAGGGAAGGAAGGGAGGGAGGGAAGGAAGGAGGGAGGAAGGGAAGGGAGGGAGGAAGGGAGGGAAGGAGGGAGGGAGGTAGGGAGGGAAGGAAGGGAGGGAGGGAAGGAAGGAGGGAGGAAGGGAAGGAGGGAGGGAGGGAGGGAAGGAGGGAGGGAGGGAGGGAAGGAAGGAGGGAGGGAGGGAAGGAGGGAGGGAAGGAAGGAGGGAGGGAGGGAAGGAGGGAGGGAAGGAAGGAGGGAGGGAGGGAAGGAGGGAGGGAAGGAGGGAGGAAGGAAGGAAGGAGGGAGGAAGGATGGGTGCAGGGGCCCTGAGGGTGGACAACACAGGAAGGGCTGGCACGCCAGTCTCAGTCATCCCCACGGGGCCCCAGTGTTAGGGTTCGAGGATTCTGCCTGGAATAGGAGTTGGGCTGGACGCTGGTGCCCCTGGGGACAGGCTGCCATGAATCCTCAATCCTGGCTCCGGAACAGGGCGTATTTGAGGAGCGTCACTGGAAAGGCTGGCGTCAGAGCCGTCTGTCCCCTGCCCGGCGTCTGGCAGTGCCTGGTGTGTCAGCAGTCTCAGACAGGGTGAGCATGACAAGGTTTTTCCATGGCCAGGGCCGAGCTCAGAGGGGCGTGTGCCAGAGCTGGGCAGAGTCCAGCAGGCTCTGGGCTTGGACAGAGCTGGCTGCGGTCCTGCCTCCCACAGGGAGGTGGAGGCATGGGTGCTGGCGGACCCTCAGACACACGGGCACAGACACACAGGGCAGGGGACCCTCAGACACATGGCACAGACACACAGGGCGGGGGGCACTCAGACATGGCACAGACACACAGGGCAGGGGGCCCTCAGACACATGGCACAGACACAGGGCGGGGGGCCCCATCCCAACAGGAGTTGCACAGGCGGAGGCTTCTCTCCACCCTTGTCCAGCCAGCCCTCAACAGCATGCCGGTCTCGATGCAGACATGGGCACTGCCCCTGAGGAACTTTGGTTTCTAAGGGAAAACCTGGGCAAGTCATTGACACTGGACTTGCAGGTAAGGCATGAGGACAGCAGCTCTTGAGGAAGGAGATGCAGCCCGGCAGGCTTCCCGGAGGCAGCAGCACCATGGGCGGGGAGCAGCGTCCCGGGACCACACACAGGTAAGCGTTCGACTGTGCAGAGTCAGGGAGAGAGGTGGGGCGTCCAGGGCCTTAGGCAGGTTCCAGACAGGGCCCATTCCTCACCAACCCCAGGAGTCTCCCCAGAACTCCGCACTGACAGATGGGTGACAGCAGGGTTTTCAGCCAGCCTCTTGGAGGTGTGAAAAGAGAACAAACTTTCGGGACCTAAAACACTAAGTCAAAGGGAAAGTCAAGCTGGGAACGGAGTCCCGCACGCCGCCTCCCATCTTCCTCCGTGGACAGCCACAAAGGTGAGATGCCCCGTGCCCCCCTCGCCAGCTGCTCACAGGGAAGCTCCTGTGGACCCCAAGATCTTGACTCTGAAACTTCTGCAAAATCTCAACAGCTTAACTTCTTTGGTACAGGACAAAGGACAGAGCTAAAGTCACCTTCCACTCACCTAGGCGAACGCGCACCTGCCGGCTTCCTGTTCCCTGTGGAAACGCAGGGTCGCCCGGCGTGGGGCTGCGCCTTTCACTCGCCTACCCCACCTCCCACATTTCAGAATGTGCATTTGGTGACAGCTGGTCAGACTTAAAGGAACACACCGCTTGCCTCTTCTCCACCTGCCCTTTTCTTTCCCCTTTAGGTACAGACGTCTCCAAACCCTCTTTGGGGTTTTTTGTTTCTGTTTTTGGTTTTTTGAGGCAGAGTCTCGCTCTGTCGCCCGGGCTGGAGTGCAGTGGTGCGATCTCGGCTCACTGCAACCTCCACCTCTCCAGGTTCAAGAGATTCTCCTGCCTCAGCCTCCCAAGTAGCTGGGATTACGAGCACACGCCACCACACCCAGCTAATTTTTGTATTTTTAGTAGAGATGAGGTTTCACCATCTTGGCCAGAGTGGTCTTGATCTCTTGACCTTGTGATCCTCCCAATTGCAGGTGGAAGCCACTAGGCCCTGTCTGTTTTTGTATTTTTAGTAGAGATGGGGTTCACCATGTTGGCCAGGGTGGTTTTGAACTCTTGACCTCGTGATCGTCCTGCTTCAGGCTCCCAAAGTGCTGGGATTACAGGTGGGAGCCACCTCGCTGGGCCTCCAAACCCTCTTTGGAAAAAGCAGACCACAGATGTTTCCTGTAGCTTTGTGCCCTTCACCTTGGTAAAATACATCTCTGAACTGATTGAGACCCGTCTCAGACACCTTCTGCTTTATAGAGGTAAGAACAGAACCGGCCACCAGGACCAGTGCAGGAGCCTGGCTTCCCGGCTGTGACAGCCTCCATGTCCCACCTGCTACCCCCGAGCCCCCAGCCCCAGGTGGGAGGAAGGGCTGCCCTGCTCGGGTGGGCACACGGTGCAGCAGTGGAGCTCCAGCCTAGACCATGGCCTGTCTCTCTCTCTCCTCTCCCTGTCCCAGATTCCCAGGAAAGAGGCCCCACGTGAACACGGGGGTGGAGTCACAGAGAAGCCAGCTTCGGCCAGGGGGTGGCAGCTGTTCCCTGCCGATGGTAGGGATCAGAGCCAAGCATGACTGCTGGACCCCAAGTCCTTCACAGAGTGGGCAGGAGGCGGCAGCAAGGGAGGAGGCCGGAGCGGACTCAAGCAGCCACACTGCAGGTGCAGAGGGAGGCAGGAGGCCGGGCGCCGGTCACGTCCTGCTGCAACCCTGCAGGGCTGAGGCCAGGTGCAGACGCCACCAGATCCCCATGGAATTCTGCCACAGTGACTCACACTGCCACTCCCCACAGACCCCCACCCCACAGCAGAAGGATTCTGGCTTCATGTAAGTGGCTCCCATCTAAAAGATGCCCCAAGCTGGGCGCAGTGGCTCACGCCTGTAATCCCAGCACTTTGGGAGGCTGAGGCAGGCGGATCACCCGAGGTCAGGAGTGTAAGACCAGCCTGGACAACATGGCAAAACACTGTCTCTATTAAAAATACAAAAAAATGAGCCGGATGTGGTGGCAGGTGCCTGTAATCCCAGTTACTTGGGAGACTGAGGCAGGAGAACCGCTTGAACCTGGGAGGCAGAGGTTGCAGTGAGCTGAGATCGCGCCACTGCACTCCAGCCTCGGCAACAAAATAAGACCCTTGTCTCAAAAAATAAGAAGAAAACCTAAAGTGAGGGTTAGGGGGATGAGGGTGCCTGAGGGCTCCATGGGGGCTGGGATGCAGAGACAGCATTTGCTGCCCCTCCTCTGGGCCCAGGACCCCGCCCCGAACTGCCCTCAGGCTCTCATCCCAGGCACCTGCCCTCGGCCTCTCATCCCAGGCACCTGCCCTCGGGCTCTCATCCCAGGCACCTGCCCTCGGCCTCTCATCCCAGGCACCCTCCCCTGGGGCCACCTCGGCCCCTGCTTCCCCCGGTTGGAAGCCACCTCCCCAGCCTGCTTGGACCCATGTTCCAGAAGCAACCGCTGCCATGTTCCCACTCAGATTGTGTGTTTGTGCCATGTGGTGTTCGTGCCGTGTGGATGCCACTGAGGTGTGAACCTGGGGACCGATGCAGGCTCCAGGGAGCTGCAGTGTGGCTGGGCTTATGCAGAAGAGACCAACAACCTCCACTCGACTCAGCATCTCCTTCCTCGAGGGAGAGTCTCCCAGAGGTGTCCAGGGGACAGGGAAGGGCAGGGGCCCAGGAGCCAAGGCTGGAAGCTCAGCCCCCACTCAGCCTTCGAAAATGCTCTAGTGGGAGCAGCTGGTCTCAGGGGAAGGCTTAAAACTCCAGCAGGGCCCAGGCAGGTGCGGACTCGGGAAGAGTGGAGGGAAGCCTCGCCTGGCCCGCCTTCCTCCTGCTCCTCCACCATGTGGCCCGTCCCAAGCTGTTCTCTCTTCCCGCCCCCAACTCAGGCCTGGCTCCAGACAGTCTCCTCGGACCCTGAGGCCCAGGGCTGGGGGGCCTGGAACAAGACCAAGAATTCTCTGGGGCCAGAGGGTGGGGAAGGGAAGGAGGAGAGGGAAGAGGAGGCAGAGGAAGACCAGGATGGAGATGAAGGCTTCCTGCTATCTCTGCTGGAGCAAAAGAATCTGGCTGAGTTCCCCATGCCTGACCAGGTAACAGCTGTGCGGAGGCCCTGGGGACCTCAGGGGACCTGAGCCACGGGGGCTGGTGGACACAGGGTCTCCATGACAGATGGCTGCAGCTGATTTAGGAGGGGAGCGGTCCACTGCACACCTGCCTGAAAGAAGGTGGTGGGGAGCTCCCAGCCTCATAGAACGGAGGGGTCAAGGTGGCCTTTCGGCCCAGAGAAGGGCCCTTGAGGTGAGGGTTGCAGAGATGAGTTTGTCATCCCAGTCAGCTGCCCCAGAAAGTAGTGTCCCTGCCAGAGAAGGGCTGTCCCCTTGAGGGTGTGACCCTCAGCTGGAGCTGGCAGGCCACATGCCTACCCTCCTCGGAGCAGAGCCTGCTGGCTGCCTGCCCTGCTCAGGGATATGTGTTGGCAGGAGCTGGAGGCCATCAAGATGAAGGTGTGGGCCATGGAGCAGGCCGAGGGACTGCCTTGGCCTCCAGGAGCACAGCGCCTCCTCCGGGAAGAGGAGGACGCTGTGGCAGGGCAGCTGCTGAGCCCCGAGACAACAGGTAGGAACGAGGCCCCAGGCTGGGTCCCGGAGTTTCCATGAGGGTTGGGCCTGGCAGGCCCCACATGCCATGGACCTTCCGGAGAGAGGAGTGAGGAAGGAGCCGTGTTCTCCGCAGGCTACCCCATCGGTGGGACCCCGGAAGAGAAGGTGGAGGCTGACCACAGATCCATCTATGTGGGCAACGTGAGTGGTGGGCAGGGGAGTGCAGGCAGTGAGTGGGGCCCCATCTTTTCTGGGGATCCAGGCCCCTGCCCCAGACAGGCTTGAAGGGAAGGGGCTCTGATGCTGGGGGCAGCCAGACTGTCGCCTCGAGGAAACGCAGGCCTGGGCCTGAGTTCGCTTTCCCACATGAGCTGGAATTCAGGATTGCACATGAAATCTCCAATTTAGAGCTTTTTAAAAGGCTCCAGCCCTCAGGAGGGAGCGCCACGTGAGATACCCTTCCCTCTCTTCTCCCCTCCATCCCCCAGAGTGTGGGCGGTTGGGGCCTGGGGCCATCCCCTCCCAGTCCCAGTCTTGGGGTTTCTTCCCCCGCCTCTACCAAGAAAGCCCGGGGAGAGGGCCAGGCGTCTCCCTCACATGCCGGTCTGGGCCAGGTGGACTACGGGGGCTCGGCGGAGGAGCTGGAGGCCCACTTTAGCTGCTGCGGGAAGGTCTACCGAGTCACCATTCTGTGCGACAAGTTCTCTGGACACCCCAAGGGGTCAGTGTGGGGCCTGGCGGGGCGCTAGCCACGTGGACAGGCCCTGGCCTCACCCCTCCCCTCCCCACCCCCCAGCTATGCCTACATCGAGTTTGCCACCAAGGGCTCTGTGCAGGCCGCCGTGCAGCTGGACCAGAGCCTCTTCCGCGGCCGCGTCATCAAGGTGTGTTGGGGTCCCCAGGTCCACAAATCTGGGCACGAAGGCGCTGGCCCCCTGGCCCTGGGACACACCGCAGCTCTGGCACAGCGTGTCTCAGGCATGGTGGGCAGCTGGGCCTGGACAGGGTGTGACGGGACCCTCAAACCTGAAGCTGGGTTTGGTCTGTGAGTGGCATGGTGTAGAAGGGCCCCCCCCCGCCGCAGGGATGCTGGCTGTGACTGGGTGTCACGTGACCACAGCGGTGGCGAAGGCAGAGGGACCCTATAGGTCTGAATGGCATCCTGAGCTGGGCAGGACCCCATGCTCCGGGGCTTCGGGGCTGCAGGCTGGGTCTCGGCCGTCCCTCAAGGACGACTCGGAGCAGACCTCTGTTCCAGGTGCTGCCGAAAAGAACCAACTTCCCTGGGATCAGCTCCACAGACCGCGGGGGCCTTCGAGGACACCCAGGCTCCAGGGGGGCACCCTTCCCCCACAGCAGGCCCCGGTTCAGACCACGAGGGCAGAACCAGTGAGTGGGTGCCTGTGGGGGCAGCCTGGGGGGCGAGAGCCATGGGGGGCATGAGGGTCTGGGGATCAGGGACAGGAGCGGGTCCCTGTGCTGGTTCCTGATGGGGCTACAGGAATGTATCTGGCAGGGCCTGGGTGAGGGCTGGGGGTAGGGTGGGGTGGGGAGGGCTTCTTGGAGCCTCTCTGCTGGGAGACAGGATCCCTTCTTGTTCCCACAAAGGCTCTGGGGTGGGCTGCTGCTGCCCCAAAGGGCTCTCCTGGTGCTGCCCTTTCCTTCCCTGGCACCTTCCCAAGAGAGCAGCTGGGAGTCACCAGAAAGGCCCCCTGGGGCATCGGTTGAGCAGCAGGGTGACCACCCTGCATCCTTACCCTGTTGTCCTGGGAGGCCCTAGGCCGCCTCCCAGCTTCCCCCCCGGGGAGGCCACTCACCCTGCCCTCTCTTTCTGTGCAGGGCACGCGGAAGAGCCTCCCTGTGGTTCTCACCGTATTAATGGAAGGGCCTGCTTTTGAGAGAGGGACTGGGGGCTGGGTCAGGAGTAAACCTGTTGTGTTCCATAGGGGGCTGGGGCTGGCAGGGAGTGGGGTGGGGGCGAGGCCAGAGGAGAGGGGTGTCCAGAAGAGCAGCCTCTGGCCCCCCACTTGGCCAGAGGGGAATGGTCCACTCGTGGCCATAGCCACGAGTCACAGCCATGGCCTGGTAGTGGGCCGGGCACGGGTGCCACAGGGCTCCAAGGGGCTCTGGGCAGTGAGGCATGGGGGAGGAACAGAGGCCCAGGCAGTGCCAGGCCAGCTTGGGGTTGGCATGCTTGGCTCTTCAACTAACTCATTTTAAACAGAAACGTGTGTCTTAATGGTGAAGCATAAATTATTAAAATTGAACATTTTTAAAAAGCAAATGGCAGATTCATTCCTTGTGTTCTCGCCGTGGACAGTTCCCTTTGCGTCTTCTCCTGGGACAGAACACGGAAAGCGGCTGGTGGAACGTGCCTGTGGGCCAACGACAGGGCTCTGGCCCCATTGCTACTGACAGCAAGCAGACGGTGCACAGGCTGAGGCGGCGTCAACGTCACCGCCAGCCTGATGGGCCACGACTGCCGGTGTGTAAGCCAAGACGCCCTCACACACATGTGATGACCCTGCCCTCGCCCATATGTCCAGGGTACCAAGTGACAAGACACTCAGGAGGCTCCTGGCACAGGCCTGGCCCTTCTCAGCAGCTCAGGAAGCAGTAGAGGTCTCTGTCCTGGGTACTCTGACGACTGTCCCCCCTGGCAGCAGAGCCAGTCAGGCTCCCTGGCTGCAGGCACAGCTGCACAGGTCCAGACCCAAGGCTGCCCACCTGCCCACCCACCCACCCACCCACCCAAATCCTGCATCCCACAGCTCACGGCGCCTCCACTCGGCCCCATCAGGCTTCGTGCAGAGCAGCTCCTGTTCAGTGGGCTGGTGCCACCCACCCTCAGCCACCCTCCTCCAGTACCAGGCTAGACGCTGCTCCGGGGATGGCTCTCCTTATTCCCCACCCACACCGGTCTCCTCCCCAAACCAGCCCCACACCTACCTTGGGGCCTTGGGTCAAGGTTGGCCTCTGTACTGGGGGGAATGATGCCACCCCCAAAATGCGTCCACGTCCCAATCCCCAGAACCTGTGAACTTGGCCTTTTCTGGAAGGAGTATTTGCAGTTGTGATTCAGTGAAAGGCTTAAAGATGGTCCTGAGTTACCTGAACAGATGCTTGGGTTCCCTAAACCCGACCACACACTGGTTAGAGACCAAGAGACGCTCCAAGACCGTGTGAGGACAGAGGCAGAGGCAGCAAGGCCAAGGACTGCAGGGGTGGCAGTGGCTGCAAAGGCCGGAGCAGGCCAGCCCTGGCCACACCCAGCCTTGGCACTTCCACCTCCACACTGGGGTTGGGGGGAAATGCATTCCTGGGGTTTGAAGCCCCTCTATGCCGGGCTCTGTTACGGTGGCCCGGGAGACTGAGCCTAATTATCAAGATACCCGGCCAAGGAGCCGCCAACGGCCCTCCAAGACCTGCCCTGATCTCACCTGAGGTCCACTCTGGAGCCCCTGGGCCCTGTGGTCTGTGAGCTGCTCTTTCCAGGCCTCCACTGGTTTGCCAGGGAGGGAAAAATGCTAACAGCTAGAGTCTGGCTTCAGGGTGGACTTGAGGGAGCTATCTCAGCATGTGAGTGAGAGCCAGGCCCAGTACAGAAGGGGGTCAAGCTGCCCAGAAGCCCAGGGCGGGCCTGGTGCAGACTGCTCACAGCTAGGGGCTACAGGGGGCTGCAGGGAGACTAGGGCACGCACAGCACTGTGCAGGTGGCAGCCCCTGCCTGCTGAGCATCTGGGCCCAGGCTCTGGCCCTCAGTGAGGGGCTGCTGCAGACCTGGGTGGCGGGATCGCGCCCATGGGTCTGTCGGGTCCCTGGAGGTGTTCTAGCCCATTTCGCCAGTTAGTTCCTGTCCATTTTCAGCCTCTGTGCAGCCACTGCAAGCAGACAGTGGAGAGAGCCCGGGGTGGCCCTCCTTTCTGTGGACTTGAGGCCCAAACAGGCCAAGGTGGAGGGGGACTGGGGGAAGCCCTCGGCGTGTGCCTCACTGGTGATGAGACCCTGACCGTGACCAGTGGAGGCCTCTGTGGCTTCGTGGAGAAAGCGGATGCTCTGGCTGGCTTGGGTGGGCAGCGAACAAGAGCAGGCTCCTCTTCCTGGGCCAGCAGCAGAAGGACAGAGGCAGGATGGCTGCTGCCTGGAGGGAGGGTAGGGCTGCCCTACGTGGCCTCCAGCAGAAGCTGCCTGGGTCGAGGAAGGGGTGGGCAGGACTGTGGCCCTCCACAAGGCCAGCCCCACCATGAAGACAGCGCCAAGCTGCCACGTGGCTGTTCTGCCGTCACATCAGGGTAAGCAGATGACTTCTCTGTGTTCTTGGGCTTAAAATGAGGATGCTAGGGCCGGGCGCGGTCACTCACGCCTGTAATCCCAGCACTTTGGGAGGCCGAGGTGGGTGGATCACGAGGTCCAGAGATCGAGACCATCCTGGTCAACATGGTGAAACCCCGTCTCTACTAAAAATACAAAAATTAGCTGGGCACGGTGGCGCGTGCCTGTAATCCCAGCTACTCGGGAGGCTGAGGCAGGAGAATTGCCTGAACCCAGGAGGTGGAGGTTGCGGTGAGCCGAGATCGCGCCATTGCACTCCAGCCTGGGTAACAAGAGTGAAACTCTGTCTCAAAAATATAAATAAATAGAATGAGGATGTTGCCCGACGACACCTGTGAAAACTCCCTCATGTATGAAGCACTTCCGGGGGGTCTGGCTAACCCTAAGAGAAAACCCAAATATCAGGGATTGGAACCAGAGGGGAGTTTATTTTCTCACATCTAAAAACACCAGTAGTCCAGGATGGGTCCATCAGCCAAGGCCCAGGTCCTTCCTGCTTTCTGCTCCACTGTCCTCAGGGTGTGGCTCCTTCCCCATGCTCTCAGCACAGCTACCCCAGTGCCAGCCATCACATCCATGTTCTGGGCAGGAAGAAGGCACGTGCCAGCCAAGCCCCCTTCATGGGAGCGCCCCTGCAAGTCTCCCCCTCCAATAGCTGTGAGGGAGACCAGGAGGTGGCTGGTCCACCCCATTGTCGGAACCGGGCAGCGGCACTGGGGTTCTGATGGTAGGAAGGGGAATGGACGCTGGGTTAGCAACCTGCAGTCCCCACACAGCCAGGACTCAGGTAGGGGTAATCCCCACTGAAAGTGGAAGATTTCCTGCTGGGCTGCAAGGGAGAGGTGCTGGCTGGGCTCCTGCCTTCTCCTAACAAGCATGAGGCTCTTGTTAAAGATTTACCAGTGAGGGTGGCCTGTGGCCCAAAGGCACCCAGCCCAGCTCCCTGGATCCTCAGTACACTCCAGGACTTCAATCCACCCTGGGGCAGGGAGGCCTGGGGCACGCCTGTGTTTGCACACACACGCACTCCTGATCTCTTCTTCTATAATTTACAAAATCAGCACTGTGTTTGTTAGAAGGGATGAAAAGGCAAATATGTATAAAGTTCCCCTCCCTGTGTCCTGCCCCAGGATAACCCTCCTTACAGCCTTTCCTGAGGTAGGGCCTCTGGGGTCCTTGTAGGTCCCTCAGAAACTCTCCAGTCCTGGACCAGTGCTGGAACGTACTCTGGGGATCTCCTTAGCATGCTGAGCTCGGGGACGCCGGCACACTGATGCCGCAGGGAGCAAGGAATGCGCTGTGGGCTCAGCCACTGCCCCAGGCCATTGCCACTCAGCCACATCAAGCCACACAGCCCCTAACCCCCTTGGCAGCAAGGGGCGCCTCAGGTCTGCACTCCAGGGTTCAGGAAGCCGGCTGCAGCTGAGCTGAGGCCGAGGGGCCAAAAGGCTTCAGGAGGGCCAGATGTGAAAGAATGGAGGACAAGTCCAGAAAGGGCTCTCGCTCGTGAGAAGGTACGCCAGCTCCCCACGTGCCCCTAGATCCTAGGCTGGGTCTGGGTTCAGGAGGACTGCCCCTTCCAGACCAGCCCACCCGTTCAGCCCATGGGCGGCCCACGTGGTCACAGGTCCCGCAAGTTCAGGAATTCATTGTTCCCGGCGCGCATGCCTCCACCCCTTCGGGACACCTGGGACAGGCTTCCTGCGCCGTCTGATCCCCATCCTCTGCCACACCCCTCAAAGTCCTCAGCTGAACTCTTCTTAGTTAAATCCTCGGCTGACACGGAAGAAAAAGCCACATCTCATCGCAGAAGACCTTTAGTTGAGATGCACATGCACAAGGCCCTGCCCCAAAAGCCCTGGGCCTCCCATTCAGGAGAGGCGAGGAGAACAGACCGAGGCCCCACCACGGTTGCGGGTTGTGCGCAGGCTCCTCTGCGATGGCTGGCAGCAGAGCCCTCCATCAGCACACGGGTATCATCATCGACGTCACCATGTTATCAAACGCCCTGCCAAGACAAACGAACCTACTCAGAGGAGCCAGGCTTCAACCTCTGCTCATAGAGAAAGGCCCAGCAGATGACCCCATGCACAGGATGCCCGGGGCCTTCTCTAGGGTCCAGAAATGTAAACTCAGCTGAGGCCAGGACAGGAGTCCCACCCCACCGGGCGGAGAGGACCCATCTGCTGCCTCCAAGTTCCCTGTGCAGTCTTCCGAGGCCCCAGGATGGGATGGAGAGAGCAGCATGGACCGGCAGGGCAGTGGTGTGGCGAGGACAACCCCACGTAGCCCAGGAGAAAAGACTGCGTGGACATTCGCCTGCCTGCTCGCATCTGGGACCCAGGATGGCCCCAAGACAGTGTCCTGGTGCAGGGAAGGGCCTGGCTTGGGTCACTGAAGCACCGTCTTGACTGCCAACCACAAGGAATTACGTCTTGGAACTGGGCACTTGCTGGAAACGTCTGGAGTGTAGGCGTGGACCCCATTTCCTGACGTTCAAAAGTTGAGTCTGTTTACTTTGTGGGCCGCTGGGAAGATGCCTGACACCCAGGTTCCTGACTGTCCAAATTCAACAAGAGGACGTGTGCTCCCTGAAAGCCACTGCCCATGTGCTTGGCCCTTACTGAGTCCTGCAGGTACCCTAGGTACCCACTGGGCAAACCTGGGAAGCCAAATGGGCAAGCTCTGCTCCCTGAGCCACACACACACGCTGCTGTCCATCCACTTTCCGAGCAGATCGGTGTAAAAGCTGGTGTGGAAAAACAGGGCTCTGCAGCTTTAAAACCTCTGCCTTAGGTGGGCGGTGCGCAGAGCTTAAAGAGACCCCCCAAACCTCTGCCTTAGGTGGGCGGTGCCCAGAGCTTAAAGAGACCCCCCCAAACCTCTGCCTTAGGCGGGCGGTGCCCAGAGCTTAAAGAGACCCCCCCAAACCTCTGCCTTAGGCGGGCGGTGCCCAGAGCTTAAAGAGACCCCCCCAAACCTCTGCCTTAGGCGGGCGGTGCCCAGAGCTTAAAGAGACCCCCCCAAACCTCTGCCTTAGGTGGGCGGTGCGCAGAGCTTAAAGAGACCCCCCCAAACCTCTGCCTTAGGCGGGCGGTGCCCAGAGCTTAAAAAGACCCCCCCAAACCTCTGCCTTAGGCGGGCGGTGCCCAGAGCTTAAAAAGACCCCCCAAACCTCTGCCTTAGGCGGGCGGTGCCCAGAGCTTAAAAGACCCCCCTAAACCTCTGCCTTAGGCGGGCAGTGCCCAGAGCTTAAAAGACCCCCCTAAACCTCTGCCTTAGGCGGGCGGTGCGCAGAGCTTAAAGAGACCCCCCTAAACCTCTGCCTTAGGTGGGCGGTGCCCAGGGCTTAAAAAGACCCCCCTAAACCTCTGCCTTAGCAGGCGGTGCGCAGAGCTTAAAAAGACCCCCCTAAACCTCTGCCTTAGCAGGCGGTGCGCAGAGCTTAAAAAGACCCTCCTCCCTTTTCTTTTCTTTTGTCTTTTTTTGTCTCTTCTCCTCCCTTATCTCCTAAATGGTTGCATTTTGGCAACCGAAACAGCAAAGCAGGTCCTACAGAAAGAACGTGGTGAGACGCAGGACGCGGGGCCCACCTGGACTGGATGCGGTCCCCCGGGTTGTAGAAGGGGTTGCACATCACGTCCGTGTAGGAGTTATGCAGCTTCCGGAACATCTGAAACAAGACCGCGAAGGTCACGACCACACGCACACAGTCGGGCCCGACGTTTGGTTTCTCAGCATTTCGAAACCAAGTGAAAAAGGAGAAAGCAGCCGCTCAGGCACGGCCTCCCATCCCGACTTACGCTGCGAATTTCGTTGTCTCGAAGGGCTGTGTTGGAGGAATCCACCACCATGACAAACTTCACCTTGGAGTTGGTGACATAGCCGTACCTGCACAGCTGGTTAGGGAAGGCACTCGTGACAAAGGGACTGCTGGGACAGCAGATGAGGCATCTGGCAGCGGAGGGCCCTCTGTGTGCCCTCACTTTGGAGAAACGTGGCAACTCTGAATCACAAGAAACGCCCAGGCTGGCGTGACCGTGCTGGTGCCAGTGTAAAGGCTTCGCTAGGGTGACGCCTGATGTTTGCAGGAGAAGCAAAGGGGAGGCAGCTAAGCCTCACCCGGGTTCATGCTCTGGGAGCCGAACCACCTAGACTCCGAGTCTGTCTGTGCAACGCTAATGCCTGGCCCAGAAAGTTAACTGCAAAACCAGAGATTTTGTGAACAAGGCGGATCCCCTCTTTTTTTTTTTTTTTCTTTTTTGAGATGGAGTTTTGCTTGTTACCCAGGCTGGAGGGCAATGGCGCGATCTCGGCTCACCGCAACCTCCGCCTCCTGGGTTCAGGCAATTCTCCTGCCTCAGCCTCCTGAGTACCTGGGATTACAGGCACGCGCCACCATGCCCAGCTAATTTTTTGTATTTTCAGTAGAGATGGGGTTTCACCATATTGACCAGGATGGTCTCCATCTCTTGACCTCATGAGGCGGATCCCCTCTCTAGAGGCCACATTGTCTTGTGAAACGGTAGCAGAAATGTCATGTGGACAAGCAACATTACAGCTCCTGGGAAGGTCTTTGAACCCCATGGCCTCAAGTGATTTCTCCCAAGGGGCTAGGTGAGAGTTTCTAGTGACATACGAGGCAACACCTAAGAGGATAAATAAAACCATCATCCCCTGCTTAATTAAAGGTGGTAGCTGCCCTTGAAAAGCACAGACAAATCCTTGCAGATACAAAGCAGGAGTGTCCCAGGTCTTCTGCAAACCAAACAATGGACACGTAAACCAAAATATTAAACAGGGAATTCCAGCCATTTTTTTTTTTTTTTTTTGAGTCAGAGTCTTGCTCTGTTGCTACGCTGGAGTGCAGTGGTGCGATCCTGACTCACTGCAACCTCCGCCTCCCGGGTTCAAGCGATTCTCCTGCCTCAGCCTCCAGAGTAGCGGGCATTACAGGTGCACACCACCACGCCTGGCTGACCTTGGCAGAGACGGGTTTCACCACATTGGCCAGTGACCTACTCTTGACCTCGTGATCTACCTGCCTTGACCTCCCCAAGTGCTGGGATTACAGGTGTCAGCCACCGTGCCCGGCCAGAATTCTAGCCTTTCTCTTCCCAAATGATTCTTCCAATGAAAAACAAGAGTGAGAGGCTTTCATTTGCCTCAGGCTTCCCTAGTTCCGTGACTGGCTAAAAACCCTCACCTCTTTTTTCTCTTCTTCTCAAAGGTTTCATGTGATCTGATCCTAAGATACATCCCATTGCAGGTCACCCTGACATACACCCTGCACTGAAAGATACACCTTGTAGTCCTCTGTGGGGTAGAGCAGGCCCAGGTACAGCTCCCTCTGGTCGACCAGGGCCTTCCCCATTGCAGAGATCTTCTCATCCACCACATCCAGAGATGTGTGTACCATGTAGTGGAACTTCAGCTCGTTCTCCGTGGGGGTACTGCGTATGTAGAGAGGGTAATTCTGCAAGAAAGGATGAGGGTGACTCAAAGGACAGGACTCCAGCCAGCTCCGAACAACGCTGCAGAGCTGTGACCTGCAGCCACTGCGGGAACACATTCCTATTCTCTAAGCTCCAATGCTTCACTCTCCATGCAGCGGTGGGCACTGCCTTAGGGGGATCCCATGTCACCTAAGATTTATGCGTTGTTTGCAAAGCAGCAGCAGTAGGGTGGCCAGAAAAGAAAAGACGATTCAGTAAAATGGGGCCGAGCACAGCCTGACGATCCCGCCTGGCACCTGGGCAGGCTCCTCACCTCCTCCTGGAGGACGCTCTGCCTCAGCACATCTGCCTGGGTCACCCAAACACGGCAGCACCTTAAATACTGGCTTTTCACCTTGACAGGAACCTTGTACCAAATCCTTCAAAGACTCAGCTCAAATACCCTTCATCTCTGCGGTTCTGACCATCCTAAGCCCACAAGTCACAGCTTACTTCCTGGGGTTTCAGAGGCCACCATTCACCCTGTGTCTGTTCAGCACTGGGTCCTGCAGAAATACGATGAACAAGGGTACTCGCCACCCTCGTGGAGGCACGTGATACATACTCAGTAAACCCACGAGCAAGCAAAGGATCATGGTAGCCCACGCCAGGAGGGAACCCATGAGAAGCTTAGCAGCAGCCACGGCCCCACAGGGAGCGGCCTCCTGAATCTGGTCTCAAGGGAGGCCACGGCTAGGAAATGAAGGCTTCGTGCAGCAGGAGCAGGTGGACCGCCACCCAGCTCAGTCTTAGCCCTCAGAAAATGCCTTCCAGAAGAAATGCATGTGGGCCAGCAAAGAGGATGGGCGCTAGGGAGACATGTTCCGCGTGGAAACGCCCAGAGGTGAGAGGGCAGAGCCAGGCCAGGGAGCTGCAGAATCAGTTTGGCTGGAGCGGAGGATGCAGGGTTATGGGGGAGAGAAGATCTCAAAGCAGGGTATGCAGACAGCACCCCAAGGCAACGAGAAGCCACTGCAGAGATTTCAGGCAGAGGCGTGACGGGATCTGCTCTGTTCCTAAGGGGGCACCGGGGAGACTGGCTACAGGGCCGGGGACGCCTCGGGGGGCGCCAGCGCTCGAAGGGAGACCGGAGGACGGAGGCAGTGCCTCGGACCACCTAGGTGGGTCCTGGCGGGGAGGAGGCCTGGGGCGCAGAGCGGGGCGTTTAGCAGCGGGGCGGGCGAGCGCGGAGCTGGGGGCCCAGGGTCTGCGGGGCGGCTCGTCCACCGCGAAGCGCCTGACCCCGGGAGCTCGGCGAAGGCCTCCTCCAGGTCCCATTCCCTAAGGCGCCTTCCAGGCCCGGAGAAGAAGAATGACAGCGCAGAGCGAGGATGGTGCGGGCCCGGACGCCCCCGCCGCGAGTACGCACCTCCTTGGCGATCACCGCGACGCACACCGCCATCTTGGGAGGCCCGGCGCCGGGCACCGCGTCACGTGACCCGCGCCGGTCACGCGCCCCCCCCAAGCACCGCCCACACGCAGCTGGCTCAGGCCCCGCCCTGCCAGTCACGAGGCCGTCCAGGCCCCGCCTTCCGTCCGTCCGCAGGTTCAGACCCCGCCCCACGGGTCACGCGGCCGTCAGGGCCCCGCCCCCCGCCGCTCCGCGGGCTCTGGCCCCGCCCCTCCAATCACGAGCCCGTCCAGGCCCCGCCCCGCAGTCCGGCCGGAAGCGCCGGCGGCCGCTCGCAGAGTCCGCTCGCCGGTGCGGGCTCCGCGGTCCGGTGTTGCCATGGTGGCGGTTGTCGCGGCGACGAGGTGGTGGCGGATGCTGCTTGTGCTGAGCGCCGCGGGGATGGGGGCCTCGGGCGCCCCGCAGCCCCCCAACATCCTGCTCCTGCTCATGGACGACGTGAGTGCGGGCGGCGGGATGGGGCTGGGCCGTGGGGCCGGGTCGCGGTGGGGGGAGGCCCCGGGCGGGGCGGGAAGGTGAAGCGGGGCCCCCGGAGAGGAGGGGGAGCCCCGCAGGGAGCGGCCGCCGAGTCCGAGCGTGGGGTCTCGGCCGTCACCGGTCACCACCCGCGCTGCCCGGGCAGCGTCCTTTCCTGCAGGGGGGTGTCCGGGGTGCTCCCGGGCCCTGCCCCCCGCCGTCTTCCCTTTCCCGCCCTCTGCGCTTGGGAAGGTGAGCGCGCCGCGTGGCCACCCGAGAGGAGGAAAGGGCCGCTCCCGCCGCCCTGCCTGGGAGCTGCGTCTCAGAGCCGCGAGAGAATCACTCCCCAGTCCCCCCGCGGGGCTCCAGCCTTAGCCACGGGGGATTCTGCCCCCTGCTGAGCAAAGGTCAGGTGTCCCTGAGGTCTGAAGAACTGAAAGGCTGAATGTCCCCTGGTGGGCAGGTGCGGGGTCAGGGGTCACAGAGCCGACCTGCTGACTCAGGAGTGAGTTCCCCTAGGGAGGACCCCAGGCACCTGACTGTCCCCAAGCCTGAGCCTCAACCTCCTGACCGGTGGGGGGGGGGTTGACACCTGCCCCGCTGTGCTCACGTGGTATGTGAGGACTGGGGCTCCCTGAGTGCCAGACTGCTCGCTGCAGACTAGCACAGACCCTGGCAGGGGCCTTCAGACCCAGCTGTGCTGACCAGTGTCGGGGCCATGGGCCTCATGCAGGGTCTGGGCAGTCGTGGCTGTCAGAAGTGGGAGGTGCTGGTCATGTAAAATACACTCAGATTTGGAAGACGCTGCAAAAAAAAAAGAAACATCTCACTGAACAGCTTCACTTGTTAAATTAATGATTTTTTGCTGTAAAGATACACCTGAAAAAGTAGACACCATCCATAGTTTCGCCACCCAGGGGTGACAGCTGACAGCCCTGCCGGCGGCTTTTCCATCTCACGTGTCTATCGCTGTGCAGTGACTGCTTTGCAGAGAGCACCCTCCAGGTCCCAGGCCCCTGTCCGGACAGCAGCGACAGCAGCGGGCAGGCCTTGCCCAGTACTCAGTGGGGTCTCCCTTAGAAAGATACTTTGTTATAGAATTTCGTCTTTCACCGCCTCAGTCCTTCTGGGCCATTGTAGATACTTTGTTACGGAGTTTCATCTTTTAGGAGTCATTCCCTCTGGGCCAGCATAGTTTCCTTGGGTGAACTGGGCTCTGCAGGTGAAGCCTTCCTGTTCAGCTTCTGCCTTTCTCAGATGACAGAGGGCTGTGTGAGGTGGGGCAGCTCATCAATGATTTTTTATGTTGAAGACTTGTCAAAACGATAATATTTTGCTTATGTCATGTTAAATAAAATATAAAGTTAGGCCAGGCGTGATGGTTCACACCTGTAATCCCAGCACTTTGGAAGGCTGAGGCATTTGGATCCCGAGGTCAGGAGTTCAACACCAGCCTGGCCAACACGTTGAAACCCTGTCTGTACTAAAAATACAAAAATTAGCTGGGTGTGGTGGCAGGCAGCTGTCGTCCCAGCTACTCTGGAGGCTGAGGCAGGAGAATCGCTTGAACCTGGGAAGCGGAGGTTGCAGTGAGCGGAGACCGCGCCTTTGCACTCTAGCCTGGGTGGCAGAGTGAGACTCTGTCTCAAAAAAATAAAGTTAGCTTGCATTCCACCTACTTCTGCTTTTCTAACATGGCTCCTGGTAAATGGAGAATTGCATGTGGACTCACTCTGTGTGTCTGTAGGACAGTGAGGCTCAGGCCCTGCAGGGGTGAGGGGTGAGCACTCGGGAATGCTTGCACATGGGGGAAGGTGACTGGGAAGGTCCGCCCAGCTGGGCACCTGTGCTGTGGCCTCTTCTGTGTGGTTCGTGGGGTCCTGTGGCAGCTGACGCCTTAAGAGGCCCGGAGGAGCTTTGTCCTGCCTGGCAGGTGTCCTTGTTAGGACTTCCTGGTGCGACAGCAGAAAACCAAGTCAAAGTGACAAGCAAAGATGGGGATCTCCTGACGGCACCCCCGGGCTGCCCAGGCCGTTTCCCCTTTCAGGGCAAAGATGAGGATCTCCTGACGACACCCCAGGGCCGCCCAGGCCGTTTCCCCTTTCAGGGCAAAGATGGGGATCTCCTGATGACACCCCAGGGCTGCCCAGGCCGTTTCCCCTTTCAGGGCAAAGATGGGGATCTCCTGATGACACCCCAGGGCCGCCCAGGCCGTTTCCCCTTTCAGGGCAAAGATGGGGATCTCCTGACGACACCCCAGGGCCACCCAGGCCGTTTCCCCTTTCGGGGCAAAGATGGGAATCTGACAGCACCCCCGGGCTGCCCAGGCCATTTCCCCTTTCGGGGCTCTGCTGTCTCTGAACTGGCCACATCCTCACTCAGCCAGTGACGGTCCCAGGCGACTCCAGGTCACCCCTACAGTCAGCAGGCCCAGTGGGAGGGTGGCTCTGCTCGAGTCCTGTGAGCCTGACGTGGGTCTCAGCTCTGCGCCATGCACACTGGGGGAGGGGTGCACGCTGACCTGACCAGCTCAGGCCTCGGAGCCTCTGGCCTACCCTGGAAGGGAGACCACCCCTGCTCATCTCATCTGCCTGGACCCAGCAGAAAGGGGGTTTCCTGGAGGGTCCATGGCACAGCTTCCAAGAAGGGGCAGGGATGCTGGCAGGTGAGAGCCACCGAAGCTGGCAGTGTAGCTCCGAGGTGCCCTGCTGTGGCCCAGGGTGCAGCCGCAGGAGCATGGGCGTCCTCACAAGCTGTCTTCCGTCCTCAGAGCCCAGGCTCCCTCCACAGCCCTGTGCACACCTCTCCCTGCCTGGCAGACTGGCTGTTTCTGCCAGGGTGCTGGTGTCTGAACCTGCAACAGGTCATTCAGGCTCTGTCGTGACACAGGGTGGCTTGGTGACCTGCAGTGCTGGGCCCTGAACCACCTGAGCATGAGTGTGTGTGTCTCAAGTTCAGAGCCTTGGAGCACGGCCCTCCACGGACTGGCTGCCCGCGGCCCAGACTCTCCCTGTCCAGTCCTCTGGCTGGGCACTGGGGCCAGGACCTCCCTTTCATCTGAGCAAGTGCAGTTTCAGAAAAGGGGTATCCCCGAAACTACCTTATTGTACCCCTCATGGCCAGAAGCCATTGTTCAGCCGGTCACACTGACCTGGGAGAGAACCACTGCCCCCATCCCCTCCCCTCACGGTCAGGACCAGAAGAGGAGGCTGGGACTGGGGTGTGAAAGCAGCTGGCAGCTGGACTGGGGGGTGAGAGACCCCCCTAATTGTCCAGGGGGAGCTGAGCTGGCTGCCGTGAGGACAGGCCCACCCACAACAGCTCTGCCCTGCCTTTCACTGACCTGCAGTTTGGCGCAGCCTGGCTCTGCAGCACGCCGGCACCCGCTGCCTGAGCGAGGACACCCGCATGGCCCGCTCTGCTCTCCAGGGCTGCTGGGGCCTTGGAGACAGGCAAGACCCAGTGACAAGCTCTGCTCTGGCCCTCGCCTGGCTCCTGCCTCCCAGGGCCAGCAGCGCTGTGCGTCGGTGCTCATTACTTGGAAAGTAGGGTAGAGGAGGGTCAGCCCTAACCACACTGGAAGTGGAGACTCAGGGCCACCAGGCCAGCCCCTGTCGCCACGGCGCTTTGTCGAGCTGCCAGAGCCAGGGGGAGCGCTGCTCAGCACCTCTCATTTGAAACAGACAAGCACTGGCCGCTCATCTTTATCATACTCCACGGCAACCAATAGGGATGGAAAGTTTGCATTTCTTAAAACTCTGAAATTCTTAAGGATGCTGCTCCGTGGCTCACAGCTGTGCTCACTGAACATGGACAATCATTTGGGGACTCTTAGAACCTTTTTTTTTTTTTAAGATAGAATCCCTCTCTGTTGCCCAGGCTCAAGTGCAGTAATGCGATTTCAGCTCACTGCAACCTCCACTTCCCAGATTCAAGTGATTCCCCTGCCTCAGCCTCCAGATTAGCTGGGATTACAGGCACCCGGCACCATGCCCGGATAATTTTTGCATTTTTAGTAGAGACGGGGTTTTACCATATTGCCCAGGCTGGTCTTGAACTCCTTAACTCAGGTGATCTGCCCGCCTCAGTGTCCCAAAATGCTGGGATTACAGACATGAGCCACTGCACCCAGCTAGCAATTTTTTTTTTTAAGACAAGATCTGGCTCTGTCACCCACACTGGAGTGCAGTAGCTCGATCACAGTTCACTGCAGCCTCCACCTCCTGGGCTCAAGCGATTCTCCTGCCTCAGCCTCCTGAGCAGCTGGGATTATAGGCAGCCATCACCACGCCCAGCTAATTTTTAAAAGTTTTTTTAGTGACAGTGTCTCTCTGAGACCCAGGATGATCTTGAACCCCTGAGCTCAAGCAGTCCTTCCTCCTCAACCTCCCACAGTGCTGGGATTACAGACACTGTATCCAGTCCTTTGAGGACTTTCAAGGGAGAGGAGAAAGGTGCTTCCTGCCGGTGGTGCTCTGCAGGGATTGTAGCTGTCTGCATGGTAACCTGCTCACTCTGCAGGGAAGCTGTCTGCACCTGTTCTTCATACCAGGAAGCTGCCGATAAGTAACGAGAGAACGGGGTCAGCAGATGAGAGCTGGCCCAGCAGCCTGGGACGCTGTCCTCAGAAGGCCCACATGTGGGAGGTTGCCCTCAGCTGGCATCTGGGAGCTGGGAATGGGCGGTCCCCTCGCTGTTCCCCTATACAAGCGGTTCGCCTTGCCATAGGTTACGCAGATGCCACGTTTTATGCCCAGCGCTTTCTTTCCTCCTGGGCCTCAAGAGTCAGCACGTGCTAAGCAAAGGGGCTGCACCACCAGCCCGGGCGTAAGCTCTGGGAACCGAGTCTGACACGGCTTCCCCATGAGTGTCTGGCACCTGTGCTTGCAACCCGAGCGTCTCGTGCAGCTCCACTGGGGGAGGGTTCGTGATGCCCCTCATCTCCCCTGTCCCGCCGTCACCTTCTCCCCTGGCTGTGGTGA